ATAAAGATGCATAAATAACAACACATGGTATAAAGTATTAAGGAAATATGATGCATGACACCAACCAAGACAAATAAGTAATATGTCTTCAATTCAAGCTTCTTGAAACTTCTAATCAGTTAAACTAATGAGGATGCATGGTAACACAAGATAAAGTCCTCTTTATAGGGAAGTTCCCAATAATACTATAGATTTAAAGTATAAAAAAAATGTTTTTTTTGCCCTTTTTAAAATGCACATTTCTAATAACAATAATAGTGATTATAACTCTACACTACTTTGACTAATAACTTATTTTTTTCCCCTTATTTTCTTGATGGTTGCATGTTCCTACCTTCAGCATTATGTTGATTTCTGTTCTGCTTCTCTTCTGTCCCAGTTCCCCTACCTGTCCATGTAAAACCACTTTGTTAACTCCTCTTTGGATCCTTCTTTATATAACTTTTTTTGTTGTTTTCTTTCGTCTTCTGTCTTTCACCAAATAACAGTCATTCCCTTAGAGTGTAATTGTGCAACTGTTGCTGAAGTGAATACTCCATTCACATGTAGTGAGGTGTCTGTGGGACTAAATGGTTATTCTTCCATTGAGTCTGGTTTTGAACAGGGTATCCTTTGCCTGCCACTATCCCTCAGACTGGGCTCCTCTGCTGAGGCAAACTTTGTCTCCAATGGAGTATTATAGCAACACTGTTTGCTGTATTTAAGTTGTTTGACCAATCAGAATGCTCATGTTTGAAGAGCAGTCCAAACCTATATCTTGCCTTTGACCTAAACCCTCCTCATAACCCCTGTTTACCTGACAACCAGCCTGTGATTGGCTCCAACTTGGCCCCTAATTAACCCTTTTATCAGGGAGATCACACTCACCAAGTCCTTATTTGGCCATGTGGAATATCGAGGTCCAAATCCAGCAATGGTGAGCCTGATCACATACACAGTAGAGCCACTGAGAATGTTTGACTCCTGTTTTGCATCCAGCACTGCCAAGTTTTACATGTATCATGCTTTACACCTATTAACTGCTTTTCTTCCTTTTTCTCTTTTTTCTCTCCCATCTCCAGTCTGCATCTCGTCTGACCACTCGTCCCAACAGTTCAGAAACTCCCAGTGCTGCTGAACTGGTCAGTGCCATTGAAGAGCTGGTGAAGAGCAAGATGGTGAGACAGAAATCACAAAAGCACAAAACTCACATGTACAATGTGAAAGAAATGTGGCATATTCTATGCAGAGAAGTCTGATAGACCTAGATAAAGACACACTCACACACAAACACACACACACTTTGTTCCTGGTGTTGTTGACAGAGAATGGTATCATGGCCTACTAGTCATCTGTCAGGACTGTGACTCACTAAGCCAGCTGTCCGCTGTTGCGACAAATGGGCATTGCACTCCATAACCAATATCCTCAAACTCACACGTGTCCTCTGGTCTACGGGCTGTACACTACAATACACTACGGACATGTAGCAAAGTAAAGACAATGCCATTTTCTCTGGAGTCATACAGCTTCCTTTTTATCTTTAAAAAACATAATTAAACTTAACATAAAACCCTTAACATAAACATGCTGCTGATTAAGATAGGATCACATTTGGTAAAATACAAGTGATTTAAGCCCCCTGGTGGGCCTTGCAAGTACTGCAGGTGGGCAGTGAGCAGTCATATCAGTTGATCAGTTTGACTCACACACACACACACACACACACACACACACACACACACACACACACACACACACCATACCCACAATACATGCAAAACATGTTATAAATAAAATGATTAAACAGGAACTGAGAAATTGAAGAAATCTTATCATGAATTCATCATGGGCAAACGGAAGATCAACTTTTAAAATTCAAGACAGGGTAGTAAGAGACGAACACATGAAGGACACACATAAGGAAGACAAAAAAACATTAAAATACAAAAGAATATGATACTAAAACACTGAAAAGTATCCCCTGAAAATAAATTAAAATAGATAACAAATTACTAAAATATAATTAACTTAAATAAAAGAGAATAAGATAATACAAAGGAAAAAATAATCAATAACAATAAACTAGAATAAGATGTTATTAAACAGTTTTATCACCATATCAGATGAATATTTGCACAGCCTTGTCATAGGCCCACTTCATAAGAATGTCTATGTTTGTAGAGTAAATAAAAAGAGAAATACTTTTATCTTGGCCTCAAGCATTCTTAAGTTTGTGAATGGCTGCTCTAAACGTATACATAAACAAAAACTCTAACTCTCAATATATCTGTCCTTTTCCTCCTTTCCTTTCTCCTGTTCCCTCAGTCACTGGAGGATCGTCCCAGTTCGCTGTCAGTAGAGCAGGGCGATAGCAGCTCTCCCTCCCTCAACCCCTCCGACAACTCCCTCCTCTCCTCCTCCTCACCCATCGATGAGTTGGATGAGCGCAAGTCTGGCTTCCTCAAGAGAAGACAGTGAGTGTTAAGCCCCGGGTCTTGTTTGTGTGTCCATAAACAAAAACCTGCTTAAGTTCAATCAGTTAATCATGTTTGCCAACATTTGTGTGCTTATATGGAACACTTCTGAGGTTTATCCACAGCTTAAGTGCATTGGGTTTGTATTACACAGTGGCAGTTTCTGTTTTGTGTCTCTCAGTTATGTGCTTCTGGAGCTGGTGGAGACTGAGAGAGACTATGTCAGAGACCTGGGATCAGTGGTGGAGGTATAAAAAAAAAAAGAAATCTATCTTGAGCTTTCTGATATTATTTTTGGTCAGTATTTGGTGAATACTCATGCAAATGAGTCAACTCCCCTTCCCCACAGGGCTACATGAGCAGGATGAAAGAGGAGGGAGTTCCAGATGACATGAGAGGAAAAGACAAGATTGTCTTTGGAAACATCCATCAGATCTACGACTGGCACAAAGAGTACGACCTTGCAGTTTTTCTCAATTAACAAACCCTCTACTACAAATATCTGTACAAGTGTATTATTGTCCCAGACTGAAAAACAAACAAAAAAAAAACATTGAGTACGCTCGGCTAAATTAGTGTTTTCTTTCCTTATTTGTGGACAGTTTCTTCCTGGCAGAGCTGGAGAAGTGTTTGGAGGATCCCGACAGGCTGGCTCCTTTATTTGTCAAACAGGTGAGGAACTAGTCACAGTTGTTTTACATCATTTTTTCTGTTCAACTGTGGATTACAAAAACAAATGTATTGACATCAAAAAATAAATTATAACATATTTCCTGAGCCATAAAACATTTCTGATTTCTTCATGCTTCCTTTGCTTTCTGGCTCTGTCTGTCTGGCTCTTGTTGCAGGAGCGGAGACTTCACATGTACATCGTGTACTGCCAGAACAAACCTAAATCTGAGCACATTGTGTCAGAGTACATTGACACTTATTTTGAAGTAAGATTTTTTTTCACCAGTTTACACTCACCCAAACGTTTGCAGCATTCTCTACCATGCACTGTCAATAATAATAATTGTTTCTTTTACCAGGACCTAAAGCAACGATTGGGCCACAGATTGCAGATCACTGACCTTCTGATCAAACCTGTCCAACGCATAATGAAGTACCAGTTGTTACTGAAGGTAAATCCAAAATAGGGTTTCATACTTTGCAGGCTGTATTCTAGATATGAAAAAGTCTGAAACATACAGGATCAAACAACACGTTCAACATTTTTTTTTGTACATTTGAACTATTTCACAGGATCTTTACAAAATTTCCAAGAAAGCTGGAGCGGATATATCAGAGCTGGAGGTAAAGTAATCCTCAGCTCTTTATAAAACTTTCTTAAGATGAGGTTCACACGTTAACTTGGATTGCCATGTGAGAAATATGCCCTTTAAAGTTTCTTTTGTTCTCCTTTAGAAAGCTGTAGAGGTGATGTGTGTGGTCCCAAAGCGCTGCAATGACATGATGAATGTCGGACGACTTCAAGGCTTCGAAGTAAGACTGCTCTTTATCCTCCCAGTAGTTTGTGCATGTCTGTGCCTGTATCTCTGTGTGTTTTTGTGTGTTTTGACACCTACTCTTATTTGTTTAGGTATCTATGCAGACAAACATTTTTAACTTCAGTGAACTGCCACTAGCTGTCAGTGTTCACTCATTTTATACATGTATGTGATTACTACTGTAGATATTTGTGTTGTAATGGACATTTCTTCTGTTTTCTGTTTGTTTTTGTTCTTTTTTATTCTTATATTAGCCATGAAAGTCATTAGAAAAGAGTAAGGATTCTGTCCAGCTCCATCTTATTAATACAATCCTATGTATCCTGTGCCTCTCTGCTCTCTCTCTCCCTCGTCTTCAGGGTAAAATTGTGGCGCAGGGCAGATTGCTTCTCCAAGACACCTTCATGGTCTCTGACCAGGATGGAGGCCTTCTGTCGAGGATGAAGGAGAGGAGGGTGTTCTTGTTTGAACAGATCGTCATCTTCAGCGAGCCTATAGACAAAAAGAAGGGCTTCTCTACTCCGGGCTACCTCTTCAAGAACAGCATCAAGGTAATTGCGGCCTAATTGCAATTGGTAATACATTCTCAGAAAGCTTCACTTCTATATTTAGATTGAACGAGTGTGGAAATGTCAATGTAGCGTCTTTCGAAATAGCCTCATACTACTTTTACAATGTCCGCATCTGTCCCTCGCAACTTTTAGTTACACTTTTACTTTTCCTCATTTGTCTCTCTTCTCTTTTTCTTCTGTCTTCTTTCCTCCCTTGTCTCTAAACCCAACCAGGTGAGCTGGCTGGGTTTAGAAGAAAATGCAGAAGACCCTTGCAAGTTCACACTCACCTCTCGATCATCGAGTGGTAACATGGAGAGGTACACAATCCATGCAACGAGCCCTGCAGTCAGTCAAGTTTGGGTCCACCAAGTCAGCCAGATACTTGAGAACCAGCGCAATTTCCTCAACGGTAGGAGAAGGCTGTCTTCACAAAAGTCTACACAAAGTAGCATAATGTTTACTGATTTTTTTTTTTTTTATCTGAAGATGGTTTCATCCTTTGAACTAAACAACTTCTACAATGTTCCTTTATCACAGCTCTGACGTCCCCTATAGAGTACCAGAGGAACCATGTGGGTGGTGGGGGTCCGGGCGCTCCACCCAGCAGTAGCAGTAGTAGTACAGGAGGCCTGCCAGGAGGAAGCAGCTCCAACAGCACTTCCAACATGGGAGGTGGAGGGGGCGGCGGAGGCTCCGGAGGATCAGGAAACAACTCCTCCTCCCTGTGTGGCCCTCGCTCCCGACCCTCACGCATCCCCCAGCCATCCTCACGCCTCCCTCAACCCGTCCACCACCACCACCCGCCGGGTCCCGAGGGGCCCGACAGGTCAGCAGGTATGTGGTCACCCTGCCACCCTCAGTCCTTCCACCCCTCCAATCCCTTCTCAGACAGCAGCACAAACGGGGAGCTGTTAGCCTCAGAGGTGCCTAAGATGAGAAGGCTGGAGAGTCCTCATGGGAGTAACAGTAATAACAGTAACAAGCCGTCAGACAACATGGACGGCTGTGTCAGAGCCGGTTTTGGGGGCTTTGAGGACACCCAGAAACATCAAACAGCTGCTATACCACAGATGGCCGTTGCTCCTCTGAATTTGCCCCTAAAAAGCCCTCGAGTTGGGACAGTCTCTCCTCTGATTTCACCTCAGTCCCCAGGAGGAGGGGGAAAGGAGGCACTTGTCCACCCCAGCCCTGCTCATAAAAGCAATCCTTTCTGGGCAATGGTCCCTCCTATACCTCCCTCTCCCGCCAGCAGGCCTGGTTCCTTCTCCTACCCCAATGACAACAGCACCAGTGGTAGTGGTGGTGGGGAGTCTTTGGGCAGAGGAAGCCACGGGACGCCCTCTCACCACCGCCACTCCTCCCATAGTAAGGACATAGACCGAATGAGCACCTGCTCCTCCACCAGTGAGCAGTCCATACACTCGACCCAGAGCAACGGGGTAAGATGCCGAGTCGAGGCCCAGGCTTCAGCGAGGCCTGGAGCCACTCACTAAAAACTAACCTCGCCCTGGCTGGCAGGCAGTCAAACTGTCAGTCATCCTGCCGCTGCCTCTGAGAATGGCTTGTTCATGCAACGACTGCCACACTGGAGATTAACGGCTTTCTGAGTGCACTAACTTCACCGACAGTGTTTGTGTGAGGAAAACCTCTGGCTCTCCAGGAATGTACTAACAGTGCGAATCTGACTCATAGACGACTGTTGTTTCTGCTTTCTTTGCCTCTTTTCTGAGCTTCCGTGTGTGTTTGTTTCTCTAATGCAGCTAATAGACACTAACAGTTGATTGAAGAAACATAGTATCCCACCGAACCTTTCATTCATGCTTCCAATAGCATATTTTTTCTAGAATCTTTGGCCACACTAACAGCTGAAGACCGTGTTTTCTTTTACAAACTGCCCCCTTCCTTTTACAATTGTTAGGCCTGTGACTACATAAGCAGCTCTGGCTAACCGTATCAGTCTCTCTTCGAATTGATCAAGCATCTTCTTGGAAAGTTTTTTATAACTTCAACTTTACTCTTACCTTGGAAACAAAGTTCCTTATCTCCATCTTGCGAATCATAACTTCTGCTTCACAGCTTCTTCCGAAAATAACTCTTATACAATGACCCGAACACTCGCCAGTGAAGACATAAAAAACCACCTCTGTTGAAAGCATTTCTCCGTCCTTTGCTGCATGCTTTAAGCATGTTAGCAAGATCATCCCTCTAAATACACTGTCAATCAAATAATGCATTTGATTGGTGAGAAGCTACTGACACACTTCTGTACTTCATTTCAAGAAATTAATTTTCTTCATGTGTGTGTATTTACTTTGTTTGCATTTGTGTGCCAAAACGTTTCCATCTGTGTGAAGTCTCACATCTTCTAAAGTGTTTTATTTATTTCTCTCCAACAGAGTGAAAGCAGTAGCAGCAGCAGTGTGTCCACCATGTTGGTGACCCAGGACTATGTGGCAGTGAAGGAGGATGAGATCAGTGTGGTGCAGGGTGAGGTGGTCCAAATGCTGGCCAGCAACCAGCAGAACATGTTTCTGGTGTATCGGGCATCCAATGAGCACTGTCCCGCTGCTGAGGGCTGGATCCCTGGCTACGTATTAGGACACACATCATCCTCCATCACACCTGAACTCCCTGAAGGAACCATCAAGTAAGAACAAGAGACGTGTCTCCTGTTGAAGCACACAGTATGCAATATATCATGATTCTGCTTTTGTGTTTAACTCATTTAAGACTGAAATGACTGCCTCTTTGTGTTGTTTCCTTTAGAAAATCATTATCATGGCACACAGCACTCCGTATTCGCAGAAAGTCTGAGAAAAGAGACAAGGAGGGCAGGAAGATGGAGAATGGCTACCGCAAGTCTCAGGACAACCTGGCTAACAAAGTCTCTGTCAAGGTAAAGGGTGTGGGGATATCTTTTGCTTACTTGCCCGTTCTGTAATTTGTGCATGAAAATCTAATTATGTCATTACATTTTCTTCACAGCTCCTAAATCCAAATTTCATCCAGGATGGTACGTAGACATTTTTGCTTTTTGAACTTAAAGTGTGGTGCAGTTAAGTAAATGTTTTGTTCCATTAGATAGCTTCAAGTACTAAAATTCCAAACGCAACCTAATTAAGTGAAACGACAGCAAAGCTCATGGCACATTGACTTGTGTTGTTTCTCTCCAGCTCCTCCAGAGTTTCTCATCCCTGTCAGCGATGTAGCATGTGAGAGTGGCAGCAGTGTCACCCTGAAGTGTAAAGTGTGCGGTCGGCCACGTGCCACTGTCACCTGGCGGGGTCCTGACAACAACACTCTGAGCAACAGCGGAAACTACAGCATCACTTACAGGTAACAGCATACACCTCCACTTGATATCGTGTTTGTTTTTCTTTGAGCTGAATCAAAGAAAAAATCTGCAGTATTCATTTTTTGAGTGAGAAAGATTCTTAACTATTTATTTCTAAGTATTTTAGCCCCAATGGATGAATACTGTACATCAGCATGCCTGATAAAAATCTGAATATGTTGTTGTAAATTTAAATTACAGTAAAGTAAGAGGGGAGCCTGAGTAGCATTATAATCCATTATTTTTAGACGAGAAACATCAAGTTTGTTGGAAGAGAAGTCTTAATTCTGTGGTGTAGAAATGTTACTGCTCATTTAGCAATACACAAAACTCTTTAAGTATCAAATGTCGAAAACCTCAGGCTTGCATCTTATTTCATTTGTTTTTTTTCCCATCCTTCTCTCCTTTTTTCAGTGAGACAGAAGAAGCAGTGCTTCGTATCCTGGGAGTGTCTGTAGAGGACAGTGGCGTTTACACCTGTGTTGCCACAAATGTAGCCGGCTCTGTCACCTCGTCCGCCAGCCTCAGAGTCTCAGGTGAGAATCCCACTGTCCTCAAGCTTTTTATAACTAGAAAGATATTTAGGTTTAATTATGTTAAGTTCAATTTCTGGATATGCTAGGACACTTACACTACCTCAGGTATACACTTTGAAACCACAAAACTGTGGACATTAATGTACTTTAATTTCTAACACAACCAGCATTATAGACTGTATGAAACATGGACGCAGCCTCATTGACGTCACCCATTTGTTACTAAAGGGGAGTTTTGAAGCCAAGTTATGGTGGTCGCAATATTGAATATGCTCAACCTAACTTTAGTTCTAGTAACAGGCAAAGAGCTGGAGCTGAGGCGGGTCTTAAGCCTCCTGGTAAACAGCTACAACCGCACCGCTTGCAGTCATATTAATCAAGCCCCTAATTATATGCATAACATGTATCCTTCAAAAAAATTGCGTGCGTGCGTGTTTGTGTGTGACCTACGGGCTTTTGGAGCCAACCTCAAGTAGATCCTCAAGGAACTGCAGTGTTCTGCACTTTCACATTGACTTCATTGTATAACATGTGTTACGTAATGGGGTTTTCAGGAACTGCTGAAGATGGCAGTGAAGTCCTCTGGAAAAACGGCTTTGAATCTCACTACACAGAGATCACTGAACTAGGAAGGTAAGGATGCTGCTATTGAAAGCCCTCTTGATTTGAACTCTCACCTTTTCTGTTTGATTGTCACGAGTTGTTTCTTGACCACATCAATCTAAATCAACTCTTCATATTACTGACTTTATTGTGGATGGCTGTTCAAGAAGTAGTTAGGTGGTTGTTGATTAGAGCTACGGGTATTTTGATGAGGGGGGATCAAAATGTCTTGGCAATCGACTAATGTAGCTGTTTTATAAAGACATTTTGTAAACTGACTAAAGTGCCTGTATCCTCACCAACTTCATCTGTTTAATCAGGTCTGGAAAAATAAACTATAGATACATGATATGTAGGATAACAAATTAATAAATGAGGGTCACATGAAAAAAAGCCATTTAAAGATCTAAAAAAGTACAACAGACGCACAGTACAGTTAGATTAAGATCAACAAACGTTCTCACCATGTTGCGTCACATCATATGTGAATGTATATAGTTGTACATATAGTCTTCTAATCGTAACTTCTGCTCCCCTAGGGGACGTTTCTCAGTGACTAAGCGGTGTGACCAGAGGGGGAGTAAACGCACAGTTGCAGCCAAACAAGTAAACAAGAAGCTGCTGCGACGAGAGCAGGTGCTGCAGGAGGTCAGACTCCTGCAGAGCTTGGACCACCCCAACCTGGTCGGACTGCTGGACACGTACGAGACTGCCAACAGCTACGTGGTTGTACTAGAGATGTAAGCACAGTGTTTGAAAAATAAAGTTAAACCTTGTTAATGTGCAAGTCTCTAATGTGTCCATGTGTTCCTCTTTTCAGGGCGGACCAGGGACGTTTCCTGGACTACATTGTGAGCTGGGGCAACCTGACCGAGGAGAAGGTGGCTCTGTACCTGCGAGATATTCTGGAGGCTCTCCACTACCTGCACAGCTGGAGGATAGCACACCTCGATCTCAAAGTAAATGCACACTCTAACACCAGAGTAGAGGAAAGAATGAGAGGATTTTAAATTGAGTTTATCAGCAAGTATAATGTGAAAGCTAATTAGTTCAACGATGTTTTATCCAAAGATGCCACTTTTCTCAGGTTCCTGCTTTCTAAATGTATTTTTCTTAAGTTGTTGGTATTGAGAAACGTGTGCCTCTGTCTTTCTCCTGCTCCTGCAGCCTGAGAACATTGTGGTAGAACATGCATTTTCCCAGCCCGTGATCAAGCTGACAGACTTTGGTGATGCCGCTCAGCTGAACCCTTCCTCCTCCTCCTACATCCATCCTCTCCTGGGGAGCCCAGAGTTCTCCGCTCCTGAGCTGGTCCTGGGTCAGCCTGCCTCGCTCTTGTCTGACCTCTGGAGCTTAGGTCTGTAACCGAGCACAAAACAGTTCAGAATTTACAACATCATATGAAACATATTGTGGTGGTGTGGACATGAGTTGATGATACCAAAGCCCCAAAGCTTGATTTACTTAAATGAACCACAAGTTCCACAATCCTTCACTTCCCCTTCAATAATATGAAGCAATCAACAATTACGTTTTAGTAATAGACACACACATTCCATTACTTCTGATTGAGCAGATAACTTGCGTCCTCATTGATTCTTTAACTTAGGGTTTTCATTGGTTCATTTACAGGGGTGGTGACCTACGTTTTACTAAGCGGTGCCTCTCCCTTCCTGGATGAGAGTTTGGAGGAGACGTGTCTGAACATCTGTCGCCTGGACTTCAGTTTCCCGGAGGATTACTTCCAGGGTGTGAGCCCAGCCGCCCGAGACTTTGTGTGCCTGCTGCTCCAGGGAGAGCCCGAGCGACGGCCCTCTGCAGGGTCCTGCCTGCAGGAGCCCTGGCTCCAGCCGCAAGGTGTGATAAACAGGGAAACCTCAAATCACAGGCGGCCTGCATCTCCCGGCCCTCAGACTGCACATCTGGACACCTCCAGACTCATTTCCTTCATCGAGAGACGGAAACACCAGAACGATGTTCGGCCCATTGGCACCATAAAGGCCTTTCTTCACAGCCGCCTGCTCAACCACATGTAACAAAGGTGTAGAAGATATACAAAGAAAATATGGAGGATGAGTAACTAATACGTTTAGTTCCACCAGGAGGGACCACCAGCAACATTTCCACAAAGATCCCCTTTTCCCTCACTAAGCCACAAAAGTCCTGCTGCTGCTGACTGACTGACTGACTGACCTCTGCTGACAAACCCTCTGACTCTCCCCCTCCTCCCCTTAACCCACGGCATATTGTCTTTATGCCTGCACAACAAATGAACTGCTTGAATCTGTCTGAGATTTCAAACGTTGACCTAGCAGGGAGAAAACCAAGCTTTGTCGACCATCCAGCGCGAGCGAGTCTTGCGTTTGGGGACAGTGTTAAACAGAGAAAAATAGAATACTGTAAAATAAGAGTACTTCAGGCTGCTTTCGGTTGAATATAAGGAAATGCTTTTTGTAACGAGAGATTACTTTTTGTAAATGAAACTCTGTACAGTGAGGGAATGGAAAACTGTCTTTATTCATACCTTTTGGGGATTAAAAGGTAAGTAGGTAGTAGGAAACAAAGAAGTGAGGTGTGTGAACAAAGTGGCACCCATCAGCAGGGTCCGCTTCATTCTGGATCAAAGTGAAGACCAAAACCTTCTCCAGAAACACGTTGTAGTTACATTCAGTGCAATAGTTTGCTTAACTTTATGCCCCCCTTCCGTTTGAAAGGAGAAATCTTTTTTTTTTTTTTTTTTTGACATTCGGAGAAACAAAATTAACTTGAACAAGCATCACTGCACCTGGGAATGAGCTTCTCAGATTTCTATCTGCATCCGCCTTATTTGTAAATAACGTATTCCTGCCTTTCATTCTCACTTCGAAGAATCCATCTCAAATGAACAAAAGCTATTTCTTTTGCCGAGTATTAGTGAGTCCATGCAGCTGCTCCCTGTGGACCCTCAGCAGCTGGATCTCACCACAAACAAAACCGCTACTAGAAATGCACTCGTATTTTGCATCGACCCCCCATGTGCAATGTTGCAGCTTTAACATTTATGCAACTATTTATGAAGAATTGTGTTGTAGCTGTATTCTTAAAAAGGCATGTACGTACCTGGTACTGCGATAGATGTCTGTATTGTGTTAACTCTTATGTATTAAGTTCAGTATTAATATCTGCAAAAACCCCCCAGACAAGAGGAGGGAATAATGTATAAAAAAATGTGTATCTATTAAATATAGGCACTTATGCTTTCATTTTGTCATGTTCTTATTTTCTGTAACAATACCAAAGTCAACTATGCTTTTTTTCCCCTGCTTAAGTGTAGGTTTTTTTATTTCTCACGTTAAGTTATAAAAGACCATTCTGAACCCTGACCTACGCGTGTTTACAAAGGTTCAGTCTGGCTTTATTTATTCTTATTGTAACAAGAAATTGTTTGGTGGTTTATTGCTGGAAAAAAAAACTAACTAATATTACACTTGTTTTTTCTTTTCAAGCTGTGCACAAAAGTGGTTTGCTGTGTGAGTTTGTTAGGCTTTTGTAGGTATATTCTGGTGTATGTCACTAGATTTATTTTGTTTGAGCATCTGGGTTTGATGTCGTAACACAGACTTTGTCAACGTTACTTTACCAAGATATAGATCCTGAAAGATCTCTCATTGTGGCCCACTCACCATGGACTTTCAATGATTGGACAATTAAACTTAGCCCAAATGTTGGACCAACAATAGTTCAAATGTTTCCCCTTGAAAAATAACACTCAACATTAACTTTGGGTTGTTTTATTTTGTAGGAGTTGATGTTATATCTGGAGAAGTTACCGAATACTTTTTCTTTTTTAAGTGCCAGTTGAATGCTTCAAACTAGAGAGGTGGATGAAACAAAAAAAAAAACATGCTTTGTTTCTTATTTTATTTTCAGGTTTCAAAGGGTTAATGTAAAACCTGATTAAACACTAAAGAAGTCAATAACATGTTGAGTTCAATGACGCGTGTTTGTCTGTACAGTCTTAGTCTCTTATTTTGTCTCATTTTAATTTATTGGTGTGGATCTGGGCTTCCCAAAATCATGCTTTTAATCACTTTATGGAATTCTGTTTAGGAGTATTCATGGAAGAATATAATCTAAGTAACAGAATGCTTTTGGGAAACCCGGCCTGCGTGTGATGTAAAGATGTACAGAGAGGGTCGGGCAGTATGCCCACACTCAGGATGTAAACCTCATAACTATGTCATATTTTAAATACACATAGAACAAGACTGCAGCAATGTCATTTTGAATGTCTTATGATGACTTATTTTTTAATTTTGCATGTATATTTCTTTGTACAGAAGATTGTGTTTACATGTTACTAAGTGTTGTAAATATTTTATTTTGTCCTCGGTTATTTTGCCATTAAACGTACAAGGAACCACTGCCTCTGACACTTTGTGCGCACACACAGTAAACACACAATCCTTGGGGGTTGTGAGAAGAGCTACTGTTTTCATGGCATTAGTAATAAGAAGGGAAAACCCCTGAACAGTTCGTCAAAATGAAAGGAAACAGCAGCAATAAAATACTCCCATTCTGTGTCGAGAAGCCTAATCTTACGTTGGAACGAATCAATCAATCAATTTGTATTGTATAGCTTTCAAAATGGAAGTTCTCTTAAGACACTACAAAAGAGCAGGTGTAGACTCTAGTTTTTGTTATATTATTTACAGAGGTCCAACATGAATCCCCTATGAGCGACACTCATAGCAATGACCAAACACTTCTAAGTCAGACTGATCTAAGAGAAAAACCCCCAGGAAGAGTAGTAGCTAATGAGGATCCAAATAAACAAATGCAATTATTTTTGCAGGAGTTGGAGTCAGGCAGGTCCACAGCAGGCTGGCTGTCTGCAGCAACGATCCAGAGGAACCTACAAGACAAAGGAGCTCAGAAACCTCCTGGGGAAAATAAATGGTTAGTGTAATTTTAATGTTACTCAAAGACTTAGAATATTGTGACATGCATTAATTTGACATGAAAGCAGAAGGAGAGACATGATGGAAGTCTAAGCCTTAACAAGGAGCTGGTTCAAGGCCTGAGCCAGTTCTAACTATTGGCTTTATCAAAAAAGAAAAGTTTAGAGCCCACCCAGATGATGTTTGTTTCCTAGTATATGATTCCAAAGGAGTGGGGGCTTATAACTGACGGCTGTATTTCCCATACAACTTGTAGAGACTGTAGGTTCCTCCAGCAGGCCTGCATTCTGGGAGTGTAATGTTCTAGACGGGTCAAAGGGCACTATATGCTCTTTATGTTAAGGTGCCTAACCAGTAAGAGCTTTGTAATTAAAAGGAGGATTTTAAATTCTGATCTAAACTGCCTCCCTTGAGACACTATGTGCCTGATAGTATTTAAGATGTTGCTAGGGTGACAAAAGGCTGTCCTTCCCCAGTTATTGAGTAGATTCACATTTAATCACAATAATAAACCTTGCAGATAATCTTGAGCTTTAATATTGGGTCAATAATGATTGTAGAATATATGTAAAATTGGCAATAACAGTAAAGTAATAATGTTAATATACTAATATAATGACCAGGTCAACATGTCTTATATAAGCAATAACAACTATAATAAGGATAGCATTAGGATGAAAGTAATGGATGTCTGAACAACAATTCAAAGGGACCTTTGAGACCAGGGAGCTCAATCACTCATGGAAGATAAAAATGCATTCATGAGACTTGCTTGCAGACAAAGAGATAGATAGAGAAGCTGAATCTTAAGTCTGGGACAGGAGGATCATTCTTTGTTTTCATCCTAAACTTTGAACCAAAAGCAACACTGAAGCTTCACACATGGTCTTCTTACCGCAAGACTTAAATGTATCTGATTTTCAGACCAACGACTAGAAGTGTTGTTTCCGACATTGAAAGCAAGATCAGATTTAAAAAAAAAAAACAAGAATGAAATTTACACTGAAATACTCAGTGAATGTATTTACTCTAATGAAGATGTGTAATGTGATAACCTATTCAAAAAAAAAAGAAGAGCAGCAAACAGGCGGTGTGGCTGATCTTATCTGCACTCTGCAGATGCTGAATCTGTACACTCGCGTGTCGCTTCAAAGAGCACATAATTCCCCCACCTCTGTATTCCAACTGTAATGTCTGATGGCATAGATTTTAAGAGAGGAGTTACCGTAAAGAGAGATTCAAAAACTGAAAAAAAACTAAACTTTTTTGATCAAATGAACCTGGCTTTATCTTTTGTTCATCTGCAAGTCATTGAAATGAACTGCAATATCAGGTGTCAAATCTATTTTTTGTTTTTTTAGAACCAAACTTCTTTGCATGAAACCACAGAGGATGTATCTGTTTAATCTCAACACTTGCTTTCGATCAAAATCTCATGCAAGAGCTGTCGGGTGTGAAGGTGTTGCATGCTGGCAAAAGAGTTTCTCCTTATTTGTCAGAATGTTGTGTTTTGGTTCATATAGCTACTCGCTAGCATGATGATATTTCCAGTATTGATGATATGATTGATGATGGATATGAATGTGATGAATAATTTTTAGTATTCATGTTTTCTCCCTATGTGAAAGGTCACCTGCTGCAGCTTCTGGGCAACCTTCAGTATTCTTCACCCACTGAGTTCAGCATTTACTCATACAGAAAAATCCCACTCTAACTCGTTGTTTCACGTTTAAAACAAATGACCACCATTTATCTCTCTATTAGTAAAAAGGGTTTTTCAGTACACTTTGAAAACTTCCTAGAAGGTTTATCTTGTGCAGACGAAATGACTTGTGACCTACACACAGGATGGTGCTATCAGTCTGTAAGATTTCTTATCAAACATACAATAAACCTGCTGTGCATCAATGAATCTAGACCACTAGATGGCCCTGAAGAGTTGATGTTGTATTTTATAGTTAGAAGTTATAGGTAGAGCACACATGCACATGCAAAACAGTTATTCCATAACAAGTTCAACACGACTGTTGCACGTGTCAGGTTAATAAAAGAAATGGTAGACATAGTCTCTCACCTTGCAGAAGAACAAAAATCAACCATTTTCCATGGTTAGTTTAACTAATGTTATACCTTCTTATAGCAACTTTCTGTTAAAAGTTGTATTTATTTTTTTGTTTTATTATGTTTTTTGTTTTCATTATGAGCTTGAATATAAGCTGAAATCTTCTCTAGGCCTCTGAAAAAGAGTTGACAAAATCCCTAAAAATAAATCAGTTCTTCACTCTTTTTTCTCACAAGTTGCAAAACATGCAGCTCTTGGTACCTTCCCTGACTTGAAGATCTGTCTTCTTCTCGTTTTACTAAGAACTTCTACTTTCCCATAATTGACTTGTATGTCAGGACTGGACAAATGATTTTAAATGTATTATTGTTGGTAAGTAATCTAAGTTTTCAGATTTTGCAACACATTTACACAGAATCTGATGATTTGACGCTGACTCCAAACAAATCCTAAACATAAAATCATTGCAGTTAGTTTTCTGTCTACCCTAAAAACACATTTCTCCTCAATTTTGAGGGGTCTCCCAGGGCTATATTCTGGGTCCCCCTGGTTTACAAAATGCACACTTCCTTGGAACAAACCATGGTAAGACAAATTAATTGATTTTCTTAGCTTATTGGATGATGTGAATTGTATTTCCAGCTAAAGGGCCCCTATCATGTCATGCCCTCCAGAAAGTTCAGAAAAGATGTCCAAAGATGTAATGCCTTTGATAACACCCATTTTAAAAAAAGAAAGTCTGTTTAAATGATAATCCTGTTTTCTTCAGAACCAGCAGCATTTATACTCTCCTGTTTACCTGTCTTTCATTATAATATAATGTTATCTTAAAACCTGGTATGTAAGCTATAGGTCTTTTAATGCTTGTAAAGGAGGGAAGGATCATATCCTTCCTGTTAATATCAAAGATAACTCTCTTGAGGGGTCTGAAATGTATGTGACTTCCTGATGTTTAACATCAAAGTATATGATGTAAGGGTGCTAATCCATTCCAGAAAGTAGCTTTTTGAAGACTTACTTCCTCCTGCCAATCACCACTACTTTGCTCACTGTAATGCATTCAAATAGGGCCTGAAGGAAAATCATTCAGGATAGATTTTACAGGATGTGTACATTTATTTAATAATTCTTAACAAATGAGACAACATAGGAACATAGAAAAAACAATTGAATATTACATACAACAAAGATATAAAAGTTGTTAATGATCTATGAACATTGGGAAATGTACAGTATGTGCAAAAATACAATTGGAATACATCGGTTTTACAGAAAACAAAGCAAAGCATTTACAATATATGGCTAAATGTGATACATATTGATTAAACATGGCTGTCACAAAAATATCGAAAGTATCCTTTTTTTAAGCTGTCTTTCTTAAGTCACCCAACCTTACAGTACTATAGTCCTATAAAAGTACAAATTAAAAATTTGCAGAGTTTTGTTGAGTGCTATTGGAATAAAGTTTTTAGAAAACCTTTTGGAAAATTTGAGAGTCTAATGTTTCTTTGTGCAGAGAGTCTGCAAAGCTTATACTCGGTTTCATGCTTCCGCTTTAAGGTTGTGGTTTTCTTTAGGCTGACTGCAAATCTGCTGCAACACATATTGTGAAACTTTATTACAAAGACTGTTAGCTGCCAGAGAACACTTTAACACACTTTAGAGGACTTCAGTGTGAAAGTGGTCATAATGTGCCAATAAAAGTAAATAAAACATTTTTTCATGGTGTTTCCCCTTAATTAATACAAAATAAGTAAAACTTAAGCAATAGTTGCAGTATTACTGATGTTTCCTTTGGCATCATTATCAAGGTTGCTGCGGTGTGTCACTGTTGACAGCTGATATATTTGACACTGTTTTTTTCCTGAGCTATACTGCCAGCAGCAGTTCAAATCTGAGTCATCAGAAATTCACTAGAAATGTAAGGATCTGGAACCACATTTACAATACAGGTATAATTTACATAGAAAAATGCAGCCTAAAGAACGTGTGAACTTATTCATAAGTTGAATAAAATATTTCTTCATTAGTTCATGAAAATATCTGAATGGCTGGTAAAAAAAGCAGAAGATTTTGTTTACCTGTATGTTACTGTACAATATTATAAGGCTAGTAGATCAGACTTGTGTCTCTGACACTGATAAATACCTACATATACCTACAAGACCTGTGGCACTCACCTCGATCCTCTGCAAATGTATTGCAGAGGATCAAAAATCAGGTGGTCAAAAAGGAGGTGGTTGCTGAAGAGCTCAGCACCATAGTTGGCGAGAGCTTGGACCCGCTACAGTTTGCCTACAAGGCAAAACGGGGAGTAGAGGACGCCACCCTAACCCTCCTGGACACAGTGGCAAAGCACCTTGACTTTCCTAACTCATATGTTAGGATTTTATTTATGGACGTATGGAGCTTATGGAGCCAAGTCCAAGGACTACAAGTCAACTCAACCCTGGTTTTATGGATTCAAAACTTACGAAAGGACAGACCACAACATGTTACCGTCTGGTTTTAAGTCAAGTGACATTGTTTTAAAAACTGGGGTACCACAGGGCTGTGTCTTAGCACCAATCCTCTTCTCCATATACACAAATGACATAACCTGTGATGACAATGGACTGACTCTGCTTAAATATGCTGATGACATGGCTCTGGTCAACTTCTACAGAAGCACAATAGACAGCATCCTCTGTCAATGTGTCACCGTGTGGTACGCCAGCTGCACAGCAGAAAACCACAAAGACTTGACTCGGATCGTAAGAACAGCGCAGAGGATCACAGGAGCTGTGCTTCCGGACCTTGATGCTGTGTATGCTGGCCGCCTACAAAGGAGAGCAACTAACGTCAGCAAAGACACAACACGCCTAGGAAACAGACTGTTTGTCCCCCTACCTTCTGGAAAGAGGTATCGCACCATTAGAACCAGTACTAATAGACTGAGGAACAGCTTCTTCCCCCGAGCTGTAGAGTCCATCACACCCCCCCCCCACCCCCACCCCAGAGCTGCTAAGGACTGACTTGAAAAAATGTAGCACTACTGCACTTTAAACATGCTGCAATATGGTTACTCTGTGCAATAACTTATTCCTGTACTTATATTGTGTGCTGTTGTATGTGCCTAACCTGCTGTTTTAATATATTTCAATATATTTTTTATCTTACTTTTTATCTCATAGATTGCTGCTGGGCTGTTTGTCACCAACCAAATTTTGTTGTATCGCATACAATGACAATAAAGTGTCTTATCTTATCTTATCATATCTGGTAGCCTGTCTGACAGATGAGCGTTCCCTATCCTCATACAGACAGCAGGTAAACACCAAACTTACAGAAACTCTTTTATTCCCACTGAAATACGCATTGTAAACAAGCATGGATAAGCAATGTTTTTTTAAATGCTGTGCATATGTGTTTTTACCTATTTAGGGTACTTTTAGCTATTTATGACCTGAAAAGAAAATGAAAGAGAAATGTCCTTATTGTCGGCATGACCACACAGAAAATAACAGTAAACACAACTCATATACCTTAAAACCCTCTTTGCCACATTCAACCACTTCACACAGCAGTGCTCCTCTCGTCCATGCTGGTGGTCTGTGAATACACCGATCCATTGATTCGGTCCTGAGGCAGGTACACCTTGATAATCTGACACAGTCTGCAGGGAGCCCTGTTTACTAACCTCACCAAGTGGCTCCTGAACTTCCTCCCAAGAAACACGTAAAGGACTGGGTTCAGGCAGCTGTGGGAGTAAGCAACAGCCTCAGTGACTTGCAGAGCCAATCTGATGGCTTTGCTGCTCTCGCATTCTGTATAGACGTGTAACAGCTCCAGAGCTTTGAATAAGGATGCAACGTTGTAGGGCACCCAGCAGCAGAAGAAAGAAGCCACCACTATAAGAACTATACGGATGGCCTGTTTCTTGGACGACGGGCTGTACAGCAGCCTCCAGATGATCTGTGAGTAGCAAAAACCCATGATGAAGAAAGGGACAAAAAGACCCAAAATGTTCATTTTAAAAAGGCTGAACAATGTCCAGAAGTGATAGTTGGTTGGACTAGAATCATCCGTACTTGTTGGATAGTCAGGGTAGCAGAACTGAGTTTTATTGGAACCATCCTGGAGTTTGAGGTGGATGAGCTCAGGGATAGACGCCAAAATTCCAGCCAACCATGTTACTGCAGCTGCAATCATTCCAAAGGACCTGGTCCGTGCTCTCATTGCATAGACAGCGTGTACTATTGCCAAGTACCTGTCAATGCTCATGAGACTTATGAAAAAGATCCCACAGTAGAAAGCAATGTAGTAAATACCCAGAACCCCTTTACACATATGTTCCCCGAACATCCACTGGTCCCGGGCTTGATGGGCGAGGAAAGGAAGTGAACAAACCAAGAGGAGGTCAGCGACAGCCAGGTTCAGGAGGCACACGTCCGTCATGCTGCGCAGCCGAACACCACAAACAATGACCCAGATGACCAGAGAGTTACCCACAATGCCAAGGATGAAGAAAATGGCGTAGAGGGCAGGAAGAAAAGTGGCGCCATGACGCTCATAAGTACATCTCCCGTAGCCACCCTCTGGATATTCATAGTCGTAGTATCCGTTGGGAATCCACTGACGTTGTCAGAGACAGATTGTGTTGTAGAGCTGGTGAGAATCACAATGACAAAACCATCAAGGATTAGAACGTTTCAGTATTTCAGACTAGTTAATTCAATCTGCACTTCATAAAGAAACTACACTGTAGCTGTGAGGAGTGCAACACAAAACCTTTCTGAATGTATTATTTTCCCTCAGGTCCAATGCACATCCTATCTGATCCAATCACTAGTGGACAGTTATAAGTACAGATGTTTACACCTGGCGTTGACATGGGTCTCCAAATATTTTTCAGTAACCTCGATTATTAAAAGTTTTGAGCAGACTGCCCCTAAAACATTTCAGAGGCGCTTGTTCAAACATGCACATCACAGCATGAGATTACCCCTGTCGAATGGAGGGGTGAACTCGGGAGGCAATTAATGATCGTTAAAAGAAGCCAAGAAGTCCGACACTGTAACTTAATGTTTGCCCTTGTATCAATGCTACTGTATGTGTACTTCAACACCTTCCCAATATCGAAAAAAAGAGCAGAAAAGAACATACTGGCAAACAGAAAACATAATGAATAGAGATCGCACCGAATGCCTGCATACAGTCTGTGGTTGTGCGCAAGCCACAGGATATTATACAGTGCATATTGTGCGGAAATTGGTTGGTGTTGAGATTCTTAATGTTTGTCTTCAATCCCTGAGCTCAAGGAGGAGCAACATAAACACCTGTGCTTGCTGCGGCAATCAGCCACAGGTGAATCCACTCACCCAAATCAGGTCTCTCATAAAGAGGATGAGTGCCCGTTGCTCATTTTGCTCTCCATCTGACAAGACCTGTTTCCCTCTTTCTTTGCAGAGTGCGTACAAAAGTGAGTTATTGTTTGAGTTTGGTGATTCAGTTTGTTTGTTAAGCCTGTGCAGACTTGACTTATTGTTTAACTGATGCACCATCCTATGTTTAACGATATTGTCATGCTCAGATTTCATTTGTTAACAAGGCAAACAATTAATTGTCATTTACCTTATTTCTTTTGTACAGAAAAAACACTTGACAACCTTGAAACCTTTAATGTCAGTGTTCTGTATTGTATGTCTGGGGATTGTGCTTTACACTTTTTAGCTCATCAGACCGCCTACTGTCTCTTATATTTCTAAATATTTGTCCATGTAAAGCACTTTGTCGCCTATATCTGTGAAAAGCCCTAAGCATACATTTCCAACACCCATGTCCTCGTGTAATCAAGCCTGTTCTCCTCTGGCTATGGGATTTTTCTGAATGAAAAAAATAGCCCATGCCTGGATATATAGAGCATAATTTGTCTTGTTTAAGTCCAAATCCTGTACTAATGTATACATTACATTTGCACACTCATAAACCCTTTTGACACATACGTAAATCTCCTGGAAAACTCCGGAGATTTGGCTACCCGGAGACTTTTAGGCTATGTGTGAACGCAAACAGCTGCATTTTTCTCGCAGACTTTACCCGGAGTTTATCCGGCCAGACCCCTAATATTTTTTCCGCAGAAAATCCGAGTGAGTGATGTCTGAACTCTGCAGATTTCAATTTCAGCCAATGAGAAGAGAGTAACATTTATATACAGTGACTGCCTAAAGTGTCTGCATGTGACCACTACGATCTCCGTGCTCTAATTAAACGTCTGCATTCTGTTTTCTGTTCCTCAGTATGTTGTTCTCCTCTCTTTTGTGGATGTTGTCATTCCATTGGATTACACATAGCATTGATATAAAGACAAATATTCTCATCATAACGTCGTGTAGCGGACTCTGTTGCTTCAGCCACTACTTCCGCGTTGTTTATTTACGTCACGTCTTACGTCAGGGATAGCCCCCGAGCCCCCCCCCGGGTAGTCTCCAGCTGTGAGGAGCATATGTGAACGGCTACGTCGGGAGAATCTCTGTCAGGTTCAGTACTTTAATAATAAAGTGCTGGTGCTGTGTTTATTTGCCTGAGAGGCGGCCAGGAAGTTAGTGTTCCTGACTAGTTTCAAATGGTCTAAAGTGGTGGCATCTCCATGCGTCCCAGTTAAGTTTACACCAGCACATAAGACTGTCCACTTGTGATGAAATCACCCGGGACAAATGTTGATACCAGACGACAACAGAACGGAAAGTGGAATGCTCAGCTAGATGCTGATCTAGTAACTAGGTTGGGAGTGAAGAAAAACAACACGTGAAACAGATGGAGAAAGTAAAGCAAAGGCTCAAAACTCAAACAGAGAGGAAGGTGTGATGCTGTAGGTTAGGTCTTACCTTAAGTTGTCTGGAGATGATTTCACACTTAAGCCAAAAACAGCACTTAAAGTGGGGGTGATTGCGGCCATGGTGAACTGCCTGAAAAGTTGGAGAAGTATGACCTCATTTCTAAAAAAAAGAGGAAGAACACACCCTTTTGATGGGTCCAGTTCTTCCTAGAAGCTCATTTTCATTCAGTGACAGAGTTTCAGTATTTCCAAAAAGAGTTTAGATTTTTTTTAAATACCGTCTTGGCAAAAACAACTAGGTCAGACTATGTCTGCGTTTATTAACACATTCCAGACCACAGTGACATTCCATTCCATTTCCAGCATGTGAAATGGAGCAGCAGAAGCTTTTAAAGCATTTAAAGTGTATTTTGAATAGCTGTTGTTCATTTGGTGCCTGAGGAGTTTGAATGTTTTACTCAGAAGCCACAGAGTGCAGAGCAGAAACCTGAGAATTGATTTGGCAACTTGTAGAAAGAGGATCAGGTTTGCTTGTTTCAGATTGAACAGCTCAGATAATGCAATGTACCAATAGAGTAAAGAGTTGTTGTTGTTGCATGATTCAGTATTTAAGGGTTGTATTGACAAAGCTACACTTCATCCAGCAAAGATGTTTCTAATTTAAAGTCTGTTTAAAAGTACAATGCCACAGCTTAAAGTAATTCATCATGTTTTAGTGTTAGTCTGGAACTTGATGACAGTACCTCTGTTTTGAAAAGTATATATAACTATAATATAATTATAATCAAAATAATACATTAAAAAATAATCATAGGTCAATTTCAGTATTTTAAATAATGTTAACTTGAGTCATTTTGATGTAGAATTGTCAGAAAACCCAATGTCAAGGCAATTTGGAAAAGAAAAGTGTTTGTCAGATGAGATTAAATATCTCAAACTGACCCGGGCACATGGCCGCAAATAACAATCATTTTCTTGTTCAAAATCAAAAAAGTTAATTAAATGTTGATTCGATTATTTGTTTCAGCCCTTCTCTTCTGTTGGGTTTATTTAAAGTCAACAGAAGGAACGATTACATAGTCTGCTGACAGTTTAAACTTGAACAGTGTCATGTTTTAAACCACATAAACATGGCTGAGCTTTTCAAATAATAACCCGATAATGTCTAGTGTGACTCAATCAAATCTCCCCTGCAGAAATAAACATGCAAGATATGTCACTAAACAACATTTTCATGTAGCTAATAGTGAAAAATAGAAACTTTACTTGCCAGTACTGGTAACAAGAGAGGTGATAATTCTGAACCAGAGGACGCTAAGGTAGACGGCAAATTGAGAGAATTTATCAGCTGTTCAGCTGACTTGACAGGGCGATGAACACAATACTTGACATACTTGACACTTGTGCACTATATGGTGTTACTAGCATCCCCTAACCCCACCTTGGGTGGGCATGTGGGGTTTCATATGATAGGGGTGTGACTTCCTGTGGAGCTGTCACAAAATTGTGTCTGCTATACACAGAACCGCAAGTCCACATGTGAAAGCTTTTAAAGTTGCAAATGCATCCGACCAGACAACAGGCAACCACAGCTGGAGGACTGCAGAGCTCGGTTTGAAAGTTTGTGTTTTTGATATTGAGAGTAAGTGATGACGCATACATCGGTGCAGTCTTGACTTGTGTGCATGGAAATGTTCTGATGTCAAGCTCATCATGAGTTCTGAGTATTGTTCATCCAGGATATTAGCTTTTTTTATTCACTTGTTGAGTTGGATGCCCAGAATGACCAAAAACATTTATTAATGTGGTAACAACATGATGAGTTCTTGAATGCAGCCTCTCACCTTTCCCCTCCCCCACTCACAAAACAGGTAAGCTTACTTAAGGCAGCTGGATGTCAGGTACGGGCCTCTTGCTCCTGCCTGGCAAGTGCATTTGTGTTTGGTGTTGCTGCTGGGAGGTGCAACCTTGTTTTGATGTGTAGATTGCTGGTTTTAATGTTTAAATGAGATCCTTGTTTGGTTGTTTCTGCAGCTTGACTAGTTGGCCCATGGTCCCTTGTTCCCCCAGATCAATCCTGACTGAAACCCTGTGGTTGTGAGTTAAAGCATTGCTTTTTTATTAATAGTAGTTTTCATTTTAGATTGCTTCAACTGCTGCTGTTTTGCCCTTTGTAGCTTTTGTGCCCCTCTTGTAACAGTTTTGTTGTACACCTTTATTCCTTTAAGTACTTTTGTTTTTGTTCCTTTAAACTTATTGATTTGCCTCTGTTAGTGTAGTTTGGTTCAGTTTGTTCAAATTGTTGCTTTGCTTTTGTAATCCTTTGACTTTGTTTATTAATTGGTAGATGCATCAGTTTATTTAACAATTCTTAAAAAAAGGGGACAACATAAAACGCTGCTGCAGGGTCAAGGAAAAACAACTTAACATCATATACAACAAAGTTATGAAAGTTGTTAAGAATGATCTATGATCATTACAAAATGCATGCAAAAACACAATTGGAACATATCAGTTTACAGAAAAACAAAGAAAAGCATGTACAATATATGGCTCAATATGATACATATTGATTAAACATAGTGTTACGGCCTCCTAGATGTACATTAAGTTTAACCAATGACTCGGAAAAGAGGAGACCAAAACATATAAGAAGGAATGCCACACAATTTAAAATGTATAAACCATGAGCTTTGGTACAATGGAACAAAAGATGGGAAGGTGCCGAGCCAACCACTTAATGGGCCGTCGCTCTCGGCACCTCCCCCTAAACTACCTCCGGTAACCACAAAGCGTATCTATAGAAAATGAAATAATCGAAAATAGGACTACCGGTCTCTCCAGCCCCAAGTGAAATAACAAAACCCAGCAATCTAAACATGCATGGGGGAAAACTAAAACAAGCCTGGTGGGGAGAAAGCAACAGGGAAAATGATTAAACAAGAAAAGAACAAACATGCCACGGCAAAAGTGTGTGTGTGTGTGTGTGTGTGTCTGCCTGCCCTGTCTCTCCCACCTGATCGCAGATTGATTTTTTTTTTTTATGTCCTTTATTAATCCCTGAGGGAAGTTACACTCTGTGATAGGGACATGATTCTCACACATAAAGGCCCGAATCACACGCATGAACGAACAGGATTGCATGCATTGGTAGAGAGATGTCGGAGTCGGGCTACTACAGGCTGCTTAGCAGAGAGCGCACCAGAGCAGGTGGGGGTTCGGTGCCTTGCTCAAGGACACCAGCTACCAGACCAACTTCCAGATTTGGTCCACAACAGGACTTGACCCTCCAGTTCCCAACCCAAGTCCCTATGGACTGAGCTACTGCTGCCCCATCTCAGGTGCACCACAGTTAGAGGGAGGAGGGAGACCAGAAATGCACAGAGGGAGAGAAAAAGGGCCGCATGTAACACATGGCTGTCACAAAAACACCAAAAGTATCCTTTTTTTAATTTTAAAGCTGTCTTTAAGTCACCCAACCTTACAGAGCTATAGTCCTATGAAATTAAAAATTGTCTGGGTTTTTGTCAAATGCTATTGAAGCAACATTTTTTGAAAAACATTTAAAAACTTTGACAGTCTAATGTTTCTTTGTGCAGAGAGTCTGCAAAGCTTATACTCGGTTTCATGCTTCCGCTTTAAGGTTGTGGTTTTCTTTAGGCTGACTGCAAATCTGCTGCAACACATATTGTGAAACTTTATTACAAAGACTGTTAGCTGCCAGAGAACACTTTGACACACTTTAGAGGACTTCAGTGTGAAAGTGGTCATAATGTGCCAATAAAAGTAAATAAAACATTTTTTCATGGTGTTTCCCCTTAATTAATACAAAATAAGTAAAACTTAAGCAATAGTTGCAGTATTACTGATGTTTCCTTTGGCATCATTATCAAGGTTGCTGCGGTGTGTCACTGTTGACAGCTGATATATTTGACACTGTTTTTTTTCCTGAGCTATACTGCCAGCAGCAGTTCAAATCTGAGTCATCAGAAATTCACTAGAAATGTAAGGATCTGGAACCACATTTACAATACAGGTATAATTTACATAGAAAAATGCAGCCTAAAGAACGTGTGAACTTATTCATAAGTTGAATAAAATATTTCTTCATTAGTTCATGAAAATATCTGAATGGCTGGTAAAAAAAGCAGAAGATTTTGTTTACCTGTATGTTACTGTACAATATTATAAGGCTAGTAGATCAGACTTGTGTCTCTGACACTGATAAATACCTACATATACCTCTCTACAAAAATATATTTCTGGCGAGTAATATTTATCTATTCCCTCAACATAAAATGTCACACTAAAAATGTAGATTTACAGCAACCTAAAAACTAATTTTAACTGAACTACAAGTCCTATAATATCCTAAAATAACAAGCTGAGCGTTTAATTTTAACCTAAAGAGAAATGTCCTTATTGTCGGCTTTACCAAACCCTTTTTTCCACATTCAACCACTTCACACAGCAGTACTCCTCGTGCCCATGATGGTGGTCCGTGAATACACCGATTCACTGATTCGGTCCTGAGGCGGGCACACCTTGATAACCTGACACAGTCTGCAGGGAGCCCTGTTTACTAACCTCACCAAGTGCCTCCTGAACTTCTTCCCAAGAAACACATAAAGGACTGGGTTCAGGCAGCTGTGGGAGTAAGCAACAGCCTCAGTGACTTGCAGAGCCAATCTGATGGCTTTGCTGCTCTCGCATTCTGTATAGACGTGTAACAGCTCCAGAGCTTTGAATAAGGATGCAACGTTGTAGGGCACCCAGCAGCAGAAGAAAGAAGCCACCACTATAAGAACTATACGGATGGCCTGTTTCTTGGACGACGGGCTGTACAGCAGCCTCCAGATGATCTGTGAGTAGCAAAAACCCATGATGAAGAAAGGGACAAAAAGACCCAAAATGTTCATTTTAAAAAGGCTGAACAATGTCCAGAAGTGATAGTTGGTTGGACTAGAATCATCCGTACTTGTTGGATATTCAGGGTAGCAGGACTGAGTCGTATTGGAATCAGGCTGGATTTTGAGGTGGATGAGCTCAGGGAAAGAAGCCAAAATTCCAGCCAACCATGTTACTGCAGCTGCAATCATTCCAAAGGACCTGGTCCGTGCTCTCATTGCATTGACAGCGTGTACTATTGCCAAGTACCTGTCAATGCTCATGAGACTTATGAAAAAGATCCCACAGTAGAAAGCAATGTAGTAAATACCCAGAACCCCTTTACACATATGTTCCCCGAACATCCACTGGTCCCGGGCTTGATGGGCGAGGAAAGGAAGTGAACAAACCAAGAGGAGGTCAGCGACAGCCAGGTTCAGGAGGCACACGTCCGTCATGCTGCGCAGCCGAACACCACAAACAATGACCCAGATGACCAGAGAGTTACCCACAATGCCAAGGATGAAGAAAATGGCGTAGAGGGCAGGAAGAAAAGTGGTGCCATGACGCTCATAAGTACATGTCCCGTAGCCATCCTCTGGATAATCATAGTTGTCCGTTCCACTGAAGTTGTCAAGGACAGATTCTGTTGTAGAGCTGGTGAGAATCAGAATGACAAAACCATCAATGATTATTATTATTAATAATAATAATAATAATAATAATAATAACAATAATACTTTTAATTTATAACACTCTACATTTTTGCAAAAAAAATCTCAAAGTACTAAGGGAAAAAATAAAATAAAAACAAATTTTATCAACTAAGCAACTAAGGAAACTAAAAGTACAAGCAGAGGGCTTTGTTAAAAAGGTGGGATTTTAGGGCCCTTTTAAAAGCGTCCGCAGACTGTGGCGCCCTTAGCTGCTCGGGGAGAGCTTTCCACAGACTGGGAGCAATGGAGCAGAAGGCCTGGTCTCCCATGGTGTGGAGTTTAGTCCTGGGGGACTGGAGGAGGTTGGTATTTCCAGAGCGGAGGCTTCGTGTGGAGGACTGTGGGGTGAGGAGGTCTTTGAGTTGGTGGGCTGCATTTCCATTGGTGCACTGGTAGGTGGGAAGGGTGACTTTGTATTGAATCCTGGATGAGATGGGGAGTCAATGTAGTGCCTGAAGGATGGGTTTGATGTGTTTATATTTACGCACTCTCATCAGGATCCTAGCAGCGCTGTTCTGGACATGCTGGAGCTTCTGGAGGCTCTTGCTAGGGATCCCGATGAGGAGTGCGTTGCAGTAGTCCTGCCTGGAGGAGACAAAGGCATGGACGAGTTCCTCAGCATCTGGCAGGGAGAGTGTGGGACAGAGTTTGGCAATGTTTCTGAGGTGGTAGAATGAATTTTTGCACATATGTTTAATGTGGGCTTCAAAGTTCAGTTGAGGGTCCATTTAATGCTGTGATTTGTGACAGTTGGAGGAGAGGTGGATGACTTGGCCATAAAAAAATTATGGTGGATAATGGGGATGACCTGATGTGGTGTGCCAAGTATAATTGCTTCTGTTTTGGAGCTTTGGATTAGACAGTTTCCATTATTTCAGACTAGTTTATTCAATCTGCGCTCTATAAAGAAAAACTTACATCCTTACTGACCCTAACACTAGAGGACAGCTATAAGGGCGCGGTCACACTGGCAATGTTGCCGTACCGTGCTTAAGCACGATTGCACACCTCCTCAAAGTGTGCCATGGCCCATGAAGGGTATTGTGCTTGAGCATGGTACAGATTGTTCACACTGGTCAAACGAACTGGACTTTAGGGGTGAAGCGTGCTTAGGCATGGTACGGATTGCCAGTGTGATCGTGCCCTAAGTATAGATATTCACACCTGTCTTTGAAAATCGGTCTCCAAATATTTTTCAGTGACCGAGTTGCTTGTTCACACATGCACCTCACCGTCGTAGACTATCTCTGTAAAGTGGAGGGGGGGGTTAGCTGCTCCTGTATCTATTTCCATCTCTTATGCAGTGTCAGCTAAATTAAATGTTTCTTTATACAAGTCTTCATCAGTGACTGTCAGGATGCTGAATATTCCCAGCTCAGTGTCCTCATCATATTTTGTGTTTTTCTTTTGTTGTCCTCCGACCTGCGATTTCCCTCCAGCTGCCTGTGTCCTTAAACGACATGCCTTCTTAATGTGTCCAGTCTTGCCACAGTTGTGACATTTTTCCTCTTTAAAATGGCACTCATTTGCTTTCTGATTATTTTCCTTGCACCTGTAGCAGTTTTTATTTCCCTGCTGTGGCCTGACCTTGTGAATGCTGGCTGCTCCGACACTCCCGCCTTCAATACTTCTCAATTGACGTGCTTCTCTGTCTGCCATCTTCATGTTAAGGGCAATCTCAACAGCTTTGCTGAAAGAGAGGTCACTTTCAGAGAGAAGTCTCCTCTGACATGCTTCGTTTTTAATTTCGCTGATGAACCGATCACGTAGTGATGCACCCAGGTTAGCACCGAACTCACAGTTGGTGGCTGGCTGGCCAGGTTTCTGATTACACTTGTTGAAATGAAACCTCTCTGCTACAAGTATTGGCTTTAGATGAGATGAGATGAGATGAGATTCAACTTTATTGTCATTACACATATACAAGTATAGAGTAACGAAATGAGGTTTGGCATCTCACCAGAAGTGCAAATAAGCTGAAAGTGCAAGAGTCTGTGCTATGTACAGTAATTACAAAATTTACAGATGTAGACTAAAAAAAGTGAATTATTAGGTATATCTGGATGGCTGGATTAATGGGATGCAATAAATATAAATAAATGCTATAAATATAAGTGTATTTTTAGGATTATAATATACAGATTAAGGTGCAGTGAGCATGCTATACTAATAATATATAGATTAAGATGCAGTGAGCATGCTATACTAGTTTACAGATAATATAAAGAATATGGACATAACATGAACATACTATAATACAATAATACAGATGGATGAGAGATGTGTGTGTGTGTGTGACCAGGAGGAGTGGTGGGGGGGATGATGGGTGTGAGGTGATATGCAGGGGAAAGGGGGGGGTCAGCAGGGGGCGGAGAGAGAGACAGAGTTCAGAGTTCGGGGGGTAGAGTTCAGTAGAGAGACAGCTCTGGGGAAAAAACTGTTCCTCAGTCTGCTGGTTCTGGTCCGGAGGCTTCTGAAGCGCCTGCCGGAGGGCAGGAGGGTAAACAGTCTGTGGGCAGGGTGGGAGGAGTCTTTAAGAATGCCGTGAGCTCGCCGCAGACAGCGTTTTCTTTGGACATCCTCAATGGCAGGAAGTGGACACCTTGTGATGCGCTGGGCGGTTTTTACCACCCGCTGTAGCGCCTTACGGTCTGCGACAGAGCAGTTTCCGTACCAGACTGAGACACTGCTGGTCAGGATGCTCTCGATCACACAGCGGTAGAAGTTCATCAGTACAGCTGAAGACCGGTGGTGTCTCTTCAGTGTCCTCAGGAAAAAGAGGCATTGATGAGCCTTCTTAACCAGACTGGAGGTGTTAGTGGACCAGGAGAGGTCCTCTGTGATGTGGGTCCCCAGGAACTTGAAGCTGGAGACACGTTCAACAGCCATCCCGTTGATGTGAATGGGGTTGTGCGTGCTTCCTCTTTCTCTCCTAAAGTCCACGATGATCTCCTTCGTCTTGCTGGTGTTGAGGAGCAGGTTGTTGTCAGCACACCAGGTGGCCAGATGCTGTACCTCCTCCCTGTAGGCTGTGTCATCGTTGTTGCTGATGAGGCCAATCACCGCCGTATCGTCCACAAACTTGATGATGGTGTTGGATCCATGTACAGGTCTGCAGTCGTGGGTGAAGAGGGAGTAAAGGAATGGGCTCAGCACACAGCCCTGTGGTACGCCTGTGTTGAGTGTGATGGTGGTGGAGCAGGTGTGTCCTGACCTAACATACTGGGGTCTGTTGGTCAGAAAGTCCATTATCCAGTGACGGAGGGAGGTGTTGAAGCCCAGGTCTCCGAGTTTAGTGTTTAACTTGGAGGGGATGACAGAGTTGAATGCTGAGCTAAAATCAACAAACAGCATTCGTGCGTATGTGTTGTTATTGTCCAGATGTGTGAGCACAGAGTGCAGCGCAGTGGAAACTGCATCCTCTGTACTCCTATTGCTGCGGTAGGAAAACTGGTATGGGTCCAGTGTGGGTGGGAGGCAGTTTTTCAGGTGTGCTAGGACCAGTCGCTCAAAGCACTTCATTATGATGGGTGTGAGTGCTACAGGGCGGTAGTCATTCAGGCCTGTCGGGCTGGAGTGTTTCGGCACTGGGACAACGGAGGAGGCTTTGAAGCATGCTGGCACAGCTGCTTGGGCGAGGGACAGGTTGAAGATGTCCGTAAAAACCCCAGTGAGCTGCTCCGCACATGCTCTAAGCACGCGCCCGGGGGTGCCGTCTGGACCAGCAGCCTTTCAAGCGTTGATCCGGCTCAGTGCAGCGTGGACGTCTGTGGAGGTGAGTGAGAGGGGCTGGTTGTCTGCAGGAGGTCTGGTCGTGGTCTGCGTCTCCCTGTTGTCTCTATCGAAACGAGCATAAAAGTGATTTAGCTCGTTCAGGAAGGAGACATCTGTGGTTATCGGGGTGGAGTTTCTGGGTTTATAGTCACTGATGGCCTGGATGCCCTGCCACATGCGTCTGGGGTCGGAGTTGAAGTGTTCCTCTACCTTCAGCTTGTGGCAGTGCTTGGCCTTGATGATGCCCCTCCTCAGGTTTGCCCTGGATACGCTGTAGGCCATTGCATCATCTGATCCGAAGGCGGTGTTGCGGGCCTTCAGCAGGAGACGCACCTCCTTGTTCATCCATGGCTTCTGATTTGGGTACATGGTGATCTGCTTCCATGTTGTAACACTGTCGATGGTGGTATTGATATAGTCCAGCACAGAAGAAGTGTAGGTGTCAATGTCTGTGTGAGAGCCCAAGGTAGCCTGAGAAGCAAACATACTCCAGTCTGTGTGATGGAACTTGTCCTGAAGTACAGAGTCTGTCCCCGCTGGCCACACTTTAATCGTTGTTACTGATGGCTTCACACGTTGGATGAGTGGGGAGTACTTGGGGATGAGGAACAAAGAAAGATGGTCTGACTGTCCCAGGTGGGGGAGGGGGGTCGTGGTGTAGGCTCCTGCGATGTTTGTGTAAACATGGTCCAGAGTTTTGTTTCCTCTTGTATTGCAGGAAACATGCAATACAAGAGGAAACAAAACTCTGGACTCTGGCTTTAGCTCAAAATGTCCCTTCAGAATGGCCACTATCTCATTGAATGTTTTGTCTCTAGGCTTATGGGGCTGCACAAGGTTCCTCAAAAGTCTGTACGTAGCTGCCCATTACACTTAGTAACGTGGCTACTCGTTTAGCTTTGGCTATGTCATTAGCTTCAAAAAACTGTTCCAGCCGTTCAATGTAAGCTGACCACGGTTCATTTTCTGGCATAAACTCGACGATTCTCCCAATCTGGACCATTGTACTCACTAGTCCCGACACCAGGTGTCTCTCCTTCCATGCAGGAAAATGTAAGTTTTTATCCTCGTTGCCAGTTTATTGTGGTGTATTGATGAAGCGGACACTCATTAAGTTCAGTCATTAACTTGGCTATGTTCACACAACACGCGCTTAATCTCAGAAGAGAGTTGCATTCAGGTGAATCACGTAACACTGTGATTCATAAATAACTATGTGGTCAATATACCACACACCATATGAAGCCTGATGTTCATCTTAAGATTTGGGGTTGAGACTTTCAGTGTTTACGGTGTCTGTAATCAATTTTTATAAGCCTGTCTCAACTAAAATAATGTGTTTCACTACTACTGTAAATTTGGTCTACTTTAAACTACGATGAGCTCTCCTGAGTCAGACGCATTAGTCGAAAGCACCATACATATTTAATGTAAGTGTTCTGTATGAGAACATCTACTCTCTCTTAATTCTCTAAATGTTTTGTCCATAATGGACTTTGTGACTTATGTCTCTGAAAAGCACAAAATAAATAAAAATGTCCAACACCCATGTCCTCGTATAACAAGCCTGTTCTCCATCTGGCCATGGGATTGTCATGTATGGAAAAAAATAACCCCTGCTCCAATATAGAGCATGATTTGTCTTGTTTAAGGTCCAAATCCTGTACTAATGTATACATTACTTTTGCACACTCTTAGAGTAACATATAACAAAAAAAGCTCAAAGATTTTCACGAGACAAAGCAGAACAGTATCAAACCAGACAACATCAAACTGGACATTGCCCAGGGTTTGAAACATGGGCAGCTTGCAATATGTCCCATATATAGTATATGAATACTTGTGTCCCTGACTGCCTTCAAATGGTCTAAAGTGGTGGCATCTTCATGCGTCCCATTTAAGTTTACACCAGCGCGTAAGACTGTCCACTTGTGATGAAATCACCCGGGACAAATGTTGATACCAGACGTAAACAGGGCCAAAGATTGATTAAACTGTAAAACAAAATATGAAGCAGCAGGACTAATGCATGACCGCAAATGACATGTTCTGAAAAATAGCAGAACGGAAAGTGGAATGCTCAACTAGATGCTGATCTAGTAACTAGGTCGGGAGTGAAGAAAAACAACACGTGAAACAGATGGAGAAAGTAAAGCAAAGGCTCAAAACTCAAACAGAGAGGAAGGTGTGATGCTGTAGGTTAGGTCTTACCTTAAGTTGTCTGGAGATGATTTCACACTTAAGCCAAAAACAGCACTTAAAGTGGGGGTGATTGCAGCCATGGTGAACTGCCTGAAAAGTTGGAGAAGTATGACCTCATGTCTAAAAAAAAAGAGGAAGAAGAATCTGCACACACTCTTAGATGGGCACAGCTCTTCCTAAAAGCTCTCAGTGACACAGTGAATAACAGTTTTTCGGTTTTGCTAAATACTGTTTTGGCAAAAACTTTAAATTAATTTTATTAACACATTCCAGACCACAGTGACATTCCATCACATTTACAGCATGTGAAATGGTGCAGCAGAAGCTTTTAAAGTGCATTTTGAATATTTTACTCAGAAGCCACAGAGTGCAGATCAGAAACCTGAGAAATGATTTGGCAACTTGTAGAAAGAGGATCAGGTTTGCTTGTTTCAGATTGAACAAGTCAGATAATGCAATGTACCAATAGAGTAAAGAGTTGTTGTTGTTGCATGATTCAGTGCTAAAGAGTTGTATTGACAAAGCTACATTTCATCCAGCGACGAAGACGTTTTTGATTTTAAGAATGTCTAAAAGTACAATTCCACAGTTTAAAGTGTGTCCCATTCTGCTGACTGCCTTAACTTCAACAGTGTTATGTTTTACACCTCACAACCACGGCTGAGCCTTTTGTACTAGCTGGAAAAATAATAATCTGTGTCTAGAATGAGTCAATCAGTTCTCCCCTCTCGTGTGTTTATAAGATATGTCACTAAACAACATTTTCATGTAGCTAATAGTGAAAAATAGAAACTTTACTTGCCAGTACTGGTAACAAGAGAGGTGATAATTCTGAACCAGAGGACGCTAAGGTAGACGGCAAATTGAGAGAATTTATGAGCTGTGCAGCCAACTTGACAGGGTGATAAACACAATACTGCCCGCCAGGCAGGCAACCACAGCTGGAGGACTGCAGAGCTCTCTTTGTATGCAAGTGTGGGTTTTGATTATCAAGAGGAAGTGAGTGTGGTAGAATTTTAATCATTATGCTTATTTCCTGTTATCTGATGTCAGTCAGACCTGATAGAGTTCAGCTGTGAGTAGAAAGCAAGGACAGCTTAGTGTGTCAAGGGTCTTCCACTTTAACTAAATGTTGTTTGGTAGTGTCTGTTCCAAATTGTCCAAGACATGACAGACTAGTTTAGGTGGTGTAACCCAGGTTAATTGAAATTGACTTTTTTTTTTGTTTTGAGAGGGGAGTGACCTCAGTGAACCTCCATAAATTATGATTAATCGTTTTTCATTTTATTTTGTATTTATTTATTTATTTCCCTATTTTTTTCTTAACATTCCATAATCTCACTTGAACGCCGCTAAAATCTATCAACCAATCAGAGCTCAACCCACTTATTATAAACATCCGGTTCACGAGGTAACTTCCTATCATCTCATCTCATGCTTGCACAACACGATAGAGTTGTTTGGTTGCCCAAGACGGGACAACGGGTACATGAATTTGTAAACAGCCGTGAGTTTGTATATTGGGTTTAATGTTAGATTGTTGAGTGATTAATGTCTTTGTTTATTTTTTCCTGCGGGAAATTTGTATGCAGAATCCCCTAAATCCCTAATTTAAGCCACGGCCGTGTACAGGGCCTTGTCACTAATAAACTAAACATGTATTTATTTTTTATTGATTACACTGTGGGATTTCAAACGTTAATCCCATGGTTAATCCAGTTTTGTTGAAGTGTAAGTAGATGATTGATTAATTTCATCCAATTCAGTGTTTCCCCTAGGTTTACAGTGTTGGGGGGGGGGACACGCCGACACGAGGAATCTTGGTGTTCATGCGTTACTTTAAATGACAGCTGTCGTTTTCTATCCTTTAAATGACTTCTATCTGGATTAGGAAAGAGGACATTTATCTTGTTTGTGTTTGAACTTGAAGGCCTCTATTGTTTTGTTATATTGAAAGTATTTTTGTGAAATACAGTTATTAATATTTAAACTTACCTGTGTTTGGTCTTTGTGGATATACACACACCTGAGCTCCAAGAGACCTACCTTATTTCTTCTTTAGTTAAACCTGGCTTAAATGCTTATTTAAAATTAGCCCACATGCTACATCAATAATGTCTTTTTTATATGTTGCAAAGCATTGGGAGAGTTTGGCAGAATTGGCATAGCAGGGACACAGCATCAGATGTGCTTTGTTACTCCATCTCTCTGCACCTGAGTATTATTGTATGTATAAACTTTCTTCAACTTAAGCCACATGAGTCTCCTGAATCATATCTTTGTGTGAAGTCTTCAAGTCCCAACAGTGATGGTGCATTGGTACAGACTTGACTTAAAAGACTTTCAAAAGCACAGTATTTCAGCAAAGTTTTATTTTTGTGCATGAAAATGTTCTTATGTTAAGCACATAATGAATTCTGACTTCTGCTTTTCCAGGATATTAGATTGTTTTATTCACTTGTTGAGTTGGATGCCCAGAATGACCAAAAACACTTATTGACTTGGTAGGAGATCTGCTGTTATGACTGAAGGATCCAAGTTTCCTAGAACGATTCCTTGAGGTACACCTCAAGCTCAAGTGTGGTGATTGGGTGATCTGTGAAGGTGCTACTCTTGTGACATTTCATACACACACACACACACACACACACACACACACACACACACACACACACACACAAACGTTTTAAAAGCATAGCTCAAAGGTAAAATGTGTTTTTACCTGTCAAATAAAAGAGAATGAAGGAAAGAATGAACTTTGATTTGTTTAGTTTATTTTGCACCAATAAAACAACAGTTAAAATTCTAAAATGATTGATTACATGTTTTATACAATTGTATGAACTTTCAATATAAAGTATTATCTTTTCTTACTTGGAATATTCAAAAATTCATCACAGTTCTATGAAGCAACACATACACACACTTGCACATAACAACTCAAGAAAAGCTATGCGTGTTTATATTTGCTAAAACTCTGATCTCACAGGTGTGTTCGATGTCTCTTTCTCTGTGGTGTCTCTGATGCTTGATGTGACCCATCTGTGGTGACTCAACCCAAGGCACCTTGTAAGAACACCGCTCAGGGACTTTCTAAACTTCTCCCCTACAAAGGCGTATATGATCGGGTTGACACAGCAATGGCACAGAGCAATGATCTCAGCGAAGAGCGTGGCCTTGTCGATAGTTGTCGATGCTTCGCAGGTGGTGATGACGTTGAATAGCTGCAGCGTCTGAAGGAAAACTGTGACATTGTAAGGGACCCAGCACACTATAAACACACACACTATGGTCAATATCAGCCTCACAGCTTTGTCCTTTTTGGAGTTCCTGGACTTGGATAGCACAACAAGGATTTTGACATAACAGAAGATCATGATGGGGAGGCAAACAAAGAGGCCCACTGTGTTCTCGCTGAAGTTTCGCTGCATCTTCCAGAAAATCTGCCAGTCTTCTGGGTACAGTGGCTGGCAATGAGAGCTGTTGTCATGTTCATATATTTCCAAGGAGGCAAACACCACCTGAGGGACTACCATGAGGATGGAAATAATCCAGATAACGATGCTGGCGGTGATGCCGCAGCGAAGTGTCCGGGCTCGCATGGCTGAAACTGCATGGACGATGGCTAGGTAGCGATCCAAACTCATTAGGGTCACAAACATAGTCCCACTGTAGAAACCCAGCTGTTCAGAGGGTCAGAGGAAATACAAGGTCAGGACATGAAGTGACATTGTTGTTAGGTTTTGACCTCAGTGATCCCCATTAGTTGTTTTGTGTTGTAACTATCGTGTAACAAAAAAAGAATGAAGCTCTACCTGATAAATTCCTGTCATCAGTTTGCATGATGCAAGGTTCTTGGAGTTGTAGGCCCAGTGTGGCAGGGATACAGCCAGTATGAGGTCAGACAGAGCGAGACTGAGGAGGCATATATCAGTCATACTCTTCAGCTTTATGTACCGGAGGAGAACCCAGATAAGTGTGCTGTTGCCTATGAATTCAATGGAACGATGGAAAAGCTGCTTAATGCAAAGGTTCATGAAAAGTTCAAAGAAGGTTACATTGTGTTCAAGATGCTGGTCTTTAAGGACATACCTAGTAGACCCAGACAAAACAGAGAGTAGCAAAGAATCAGCATGGCTCTGTCAGGCAACTCTGGAGAGGCATCCTGATCACAGCTGTTGGCGTTATAGTCATATATTTGGTCGTACGTCGACGTCTCGTACTCTGATAAGTTCATACTGCTGTGGAAAAAACAGAATATGGAGTCATTGCTTTTTAATTGAGACAACATATTGCAAAGTAGTTATAAATCAGACACAGTAATGTCATGCATGGTCAATTCTGTCATCAAGGGGAAGGGCCCAAATGCAGATATTGTTTAAAGGATGAGTCGAGTGATTAGGTGAGATCTTGATAAACAAAATTTAAATAGCTGACAGGCAAGCAGGCAGGTTCTAACCAGGTGCCTAATCAGAATCAGAATGAGAAATACTTTCTTAATCCCAGAGGGAAATTCGGTTGTTACAGTTGCTCCAAAATATACAATATAGCAGTAGAAATATAGTAATAAAAATATTAATCAAATCGAATAGGAATATAAGTAAGGTTTCAATAATAGGTACAATAAATATTTACACGAATAAGAGTAAAGTGGAATATATACACACATTTTCAAGATTATTTTCAAGATTTATTATATTTCTATATAATATTATATAATTATGTGTATATATATTAGCTATATTTATTGATTTGCAAGATAATGCAAGTTGTAGAGTATAAAATGGGTTTCTGAGGTTTGGTAAAGAAGGTGTTAAACAACAATGCAGTGCCATCACAGTGGCTGGGTGTGGAAGTTTAGTGACTCAGTCTAGAGCAGTGTTTCTCAAATGGGGCTACGCGTACCCCTAGGGGTACGTGGGAGTACAGCAGGGGGTAGGACAAATGTCATAAAGAAAAGTTGCATCACAGCAAACTAGTGGTGTGCGAAATAACAATCTTGGATCGTGAAGGATTTAAACATGTTGAAAATCTGCCGATGTGTTCATTTTATCATGCTGCAGTTGAAGCTCCTGCACAGACGCGTCTCCCTCCTCCCCTTCTGCTCGGCAGCGCAACATAAACGGAACTTAAGAGTTAGACCGTAAAAAGAACTCCATCCCGGTCACATGTAACTGTTTGAGATATTTCCAAACCGACAGGATGCCATAAACATTTATCTGAAGAGTTTACAAAGTTAAGGTTTGTTCTTCGGGCAGCGACATGACGAACCCTTAACGAGCCGGAGAGACGTGAACAGTCTGCGGAGAGTCAGACAGGAAGTCTGTGATGGGAGATGTAGTTCAAGTTCATTGAAGCCATTTCAACAACAGTTGATAGTAATTTGTCTTGTAATCCCGATATTTAAACTGATGCTGCCGGTGTTTTCTGCTCTCTCTTAGTTTTTAAAGTTATTAACAAGCCTCACCACTCGAAGCTCACCTGTTGTGATAACGGGAACGAGAATGAAACGGAGGGAGGCGATAATATCAGCGAGGTCTGGACCTTGATTGTTAAAAAAATGTTTTTGAACAGTCACCTACAAACATTTATTTCCATGAATTAGTATCTATGTATGCTGCTTGAAGTGATGTCAGTCAGCAGCTCTTTCTCCTCTCGTTCAGTGTGCAGCAGGCAGGTGAAAGTCAGTAACCATGGTGACTGTCTGTCCGTCAATCAACGATGTCCCGCCCCCTCCGTGAATACAACTCTTAATTCAGTAAAACTTACTTTGACCATGTGTCACAGAATGAACACATTTTGGATTATGTTTGAAGTCTACATGTTTTAATAAAAAGGTACCTGATGAACCCTAACATAGATTTAAAGACACAAAAGAGGACACAATACTAAATCATTCATTTAAAGTGGTGCATAAAAGCCTACAGTTGTACATAGAAATTTGTCAGAATGCAGGGAAAGACATTTCTGGTGTAAAAAATGTTCTGTGAAGATGTCCAGCCCCCCCAACAAAGACAGTTTTAAATAGACTAAACTTATAAGCACAGTATTTGTGCACTTAAAAACATTATACAGGGAAATAAGTTTGGTTAAACTGGTTAGTAACTTGCAAAATCTTTCTTTAAGATCAGTATGGAAAAAAAATGTGATAGTGATATGATATTTAACACATTTTTATGGGATTTATCTCCACGTATTCTGTTCCTCCCGAAGCACTGTTTGTCTTTTGCGGGATGACATAAGCCAACAGTTTTATGAAGACCACATACATTTGTTTAGTAATGTGCTTTTTCCAAATGATTTCCTGAAAAATGTCTTTGGTGGGATAGCAGGGTACTTGGCTGAAAAAAAATCTGAAAGGGGGTACATAAGCCCAAAATGTTTGAGAAGCCCTGGTCTAGAGAATGATTAAGAATTGGTTGTAGGAAGTGGGAATGAGGATGTAGAGAGGGACAGAGATGAACAATGAGGTGAATGGTGCAAAACACCACAAAGACACAATAAAGTAAAAATAAAAAATAAAGTGTTTCTTGACGCAAGACTCAGGGACAGATGACATAACACTACAACAATGTTCATTTACCAGAATAACCATCTATCAAATCTAAACAGCAATAAAGGTAATCATATAAATCAAATAAGTTTGTATACTGTGCTCCATCCAACATTTTTCAGTATCTTATTTTACAACTAACAAAGTGTGTAACAATTGCTGTAACCTGGCTGGCGTGCCTTACCCAATCAAGACAAAAGTGGTTTTCCAGACAAAAAGGATAACTTTGGTTCTGAGCCCTATGAAATACATCAAGATGTGGTTGCACGGCCTTAAGTTACCATCTAAGTACTGCAAATTGATCTTCTCTTTAAAGATTCTCAGTCATGGTAAATCATGGTTAAAAAAAATAAAAGATGTATCCGTAAGGCAACTACATTTGGTTAAAGTTCTTCAAGAAATGTCAGAACAGTTCCAAACTAGCAGCAGGGTGAGAGGTGAAGCATCTTCACAGACTTCAACCAAGTTTATTTGTCTTTTGGATTAACTTTGAAACAAGTTCTATTTTATTTTATCTCACATTCAATCCAACAAATAGTTGATTAGTTATAACGGTTAAGTATGGCTTTTTTTGTTGTTGTTGTTTTCAGAGCTAACTTTCCTTTGTTCCATGAATCCCCACTCATACTGATATCTTCCAAAAAAAGGGTTTAATTATCATTCTGAGAAAAAACAACAAGGTTTTATCCAAATAAAAAGGAATCCTGCTTTTACCAAATAAGAGACACGTTTACATTCTTGCTCTGATTAAAATGTACAAATGAATGTTCCATTACTTACTTTATAAGCAATGACAACTTTTGATTTCCAGGTCTTTGATCTTGTGATGTTCAGGAAAAAAATCTCTTCTAAGTGTTAGAATAAAAAATCAGAGCCTAAAGAAACAGATGAAGAAGATTACATGTTTGTCCTCTTCACATAGTATAGTAGGCACAATGTACCACTCCATTGCATATGTCTGATAGAGCTACACTAAACAGAGATACCACTTTAAATGAAAAGAGGAAAAGAAACCACTTGTTTGTGTGAGGGATTTTAGAGATATTGCTGGAATTCCCTGCCCTTTAAGTTGAAACTTTCCATATATAATCATGAATAAGTGACTCATGCCTGAAAGGCTTCTGTGACAAACTTAAGTTTAACTTTTGTTTCTTGAAAAACAATTTTCCTAATCTAAGAAAAAAAAGAACAGTGGTGATAATTACAACACTATTGGATTGAACTCATTGCTTTTCTCTCTCCTAGTGTACTGTGAAGTCATTGATAAAACAAATGGTCTATGCAACAAGCATCAGTGGTGTAGATGCAAATATTTGACACCCGCATTCTTTTAATATCCACCAACTTCCTCCTAGGCTGTCCATAATCAAAAAGATGTGATCTCCATCAAACCACATCTCAAACTTTCTCTCAATATCGTCACCTGCAGAACCACCTGCTGTGACACCAATGCAGACCCTCACTTCCTGTGGCTCAAACACACACGCACACGACACATCGTGGTTATAGCTGTAGGATGAAAGAAAGACGCAAAACATCGAGTAAAACAACATGAGAAACATTCCAGTTTAAAATAAAACAGGTTACCTCCTGTCCACCTGTCTTCTGAATCACTGCTCCTGTGGTGCATCAAACTTGTTTTGTAATTTAGTCAGCTTCCCTTGCTCTCTTTTTGTCTCAAATCCTGTTGAAGGGCTCATTTCTGGTAAGGTGAACTCTGCGTTTTGTTGTTTCCTCCGCCTTGTGTTAAACCTGTACAGAGGTGTCGGTGCGTTTTCAGAGAAATGTTCATTTATGTGCGAACGTGGCAGGAAATGAGCACGAAGGGGAATTGCATTTTAATAAGGAGCTGTTCTGTTTTTCTGTGTGCTCTACAAACACACCGTTAAGTGATATGACTTTCCAAAACAATTTAGAGCTCATCAGTAATAAAACACTTCTCATTAATTCAAGAAAATGTAGAACCTATATACCTAAAAATGTTTATGTTTACAGAAACTAATGGCTTTGTCATGATAATAACACTACATTAATGAATAATCATCTGCCTTATTTTATTGGTGAATATGTCAAACTTTATTTAAGAAATTGAGAATGTGTTATGTTTTGGATTTTGTGATGCTGGTTGAGAAAATAAACGTATGACAAGATCATTGTTTGGTACACGTAGAAATGAGGAGAGATATTAAACTTTAATAACCTCTATAGGCATATTAAACCACTTTAAAAAAACAAACAAATTACAACCAAAAATAGTAAAAAGCAACAATAGCAGCAGTCGGCTACAGAGGATTCAATCTTAAGCTGAAGTATGATGCATGTTGGCAGAAATATATGTATGCCAAAATTAAAATTCAGTATGAAAACACCAAAATAACGCAAACATGGAAAATATTTTACATGTATACAAACGAGTTATAAAACAGAATTAAGAACAAATACAAATTCAAGATTCAAACAACAAACCCTTTACTTTAACTCATCATCAAAGTTTTCCATTATCGAAGTGAAAACAATGATTCCATGATGAGAGAGAGATACAGAATATTTAGAAAATGTAGATTTACACTCTGGGTGTTTTTTTTGAAGTTTTTTTTTAGACCAACTTGCAACCTCGTCACGACGTGTGGAAAAAGGAGGAAACAAAGTAAGACAGTGGAGACAAGCTAACTTTGTAGTTAGAGCCTGGCATGAACACATGCAGCAAGAGTTCAGTCGACATTTTTATTTCCTCCATTATCAGCAGGTCCAGGAAGGGAATATAGCATTTAGAAACACCCACAAGTTATATGGTGATGCACATTAAATCACATTTTTCAATGAAATATTCAAAAGTGAAAATAAGTCAAGAAGATCTGAAGACGGGTATCTTTTGTTTTTAACATAGGGAGCATTAAAGATGGAAAATGAAGAAGAAAAGTAAAACAAATCATGCAACAAGAAGATGAGCTACCCAGTCAAACATGTCAAACAGTAGGCCGCGTCTTTAAAACAATTTACATCAGTCTACCCAGTGGTGTAGTGCAGGGTATACACAGGTATATGGAGTATAACCCACTTATTTTTCAGTCTCCATAGGGTATACCCACTTCTAAATGTCCTCTGATTCACACCATTAATTGATTTACCATATTCAGTAGGATGCTGCAATTCCTAGGATGGTGAAGGGATGACCCTCTCTACTCTGTCTCTAATTGGCTAGCACGCACTAACTAAATATGCAAGAGGAGTCTTATGTCACTGTTAGTAACAGAGGCTGTTTATCCTCTGCTGGACGGAAAAATTATAATTATACACCAAAAGAGTATACCCACTTATTCAGGCCCTACTAAACCACTGGGTCCCACCCCCTTTTACTTAGTCAAAATGGTGGTGACATCAGATGACCTTGACATGGCCGAGCTTTTCTTGAATGAGCTATCTGAAAGATCCCTGGTGGAGGAGAGGGAAATCCAGGGCACACACTTTCTCAAGAACTGCACGACCCGTTTCATGAACCTCTGCCCGACAAAGGCATAAATGATGGGGTTCAGGCAGCAGTGGGTGTAAGCAAATGTCTCCGTCACTGTTACCGCTAGCCTTAAATTTTTTTCCAGCTTGCACACATCACCAGGCAGTTTGGACTTCATAAAGGTCAGGAATAGAGAAATGTTATACGGGGCCCAGAAAATGAAGAAGGTGACCATGATGGTGATGATGAGCTTGACCACACAGTGCTTCTTCTTGCTCCTCATGTTCATCAGTATGGGGATAATCCTGGCGTAGCAAACTATCATCACCAACATGGGGATCAAAAGACCCAGTATGTTGGCCATGAAAATGTTATAATATCTCCAAGTGTCGCTCTGCGGGTTGTAGTAACAACTCAACACTTGTGAATTATTTGCACGTGTGAAAATAAAAACAGGCAGTGAAACAGTCAAACTCACCAACCACACAGCCACGCTCAGCGCAATGCCTGCCCTCAGAGTACGATATCTAGCCACTTTGTGAGCGTGTAAAATGATCACATAACGTTCTATCGTCATGACAACCATGAAGAAGATGCTGCAGAAGAAGCCAGTGTTATGGGAGCCGGAGGTGAGCCGACACATGAAGTCCCCGAATGTCCACTGACCAACGTTGGAGTAGTGAATGTAGAAAGGCAGCGTAAGGACGAAGAGGAGGTCAGCGAGAGCCAGGTTGAAAAGACAGATGTCTGTCAGGTTGGTCTGGTTGCGGTGCTTCACGAGGACACACACCACCAGGCCGTTACCTGTGGGGAGAGGGGGACCTTTTTTTTTTTTTTTACATATGTGGAAGAAATGCACTTAAGGGGCAATTTTGTCCCCAGTTTCTTTTTCACCTTTAACCTTTATTGATTACAGCTGATACAGCTGAAGCTAAAGAGACAAGACGTAGATGGTGCAGTGCAAGTAAAAAAAAAAACAAACATGTTACTGCACCATTAAATACTATTGGAGCTGTCTTAACAAAATCTTATGATTGCAATTATTTGCCAACTTGATGCCTCTGAAAATGTAATGATCTTGGTTCTCTACTACATAAGATACAGTATTATACGTTACCATTGGTACAATTGCCTCTTTTTAAGAATATAATTTTTTGGTACATAGTTTTTATTAACTATTTTATTACTACTTTGTGTGTGTTTTTGCAAATTATTTATCCTACTGTGGGTTTTGTTGTTTGTTAATTTTGACATTTAGACATTAATAAAGTTTGAACTTAAAAATACACACTGGAATTGTGTCTGTTTCTCTCAAACATGCACTCAAATACGTACCCAAAAAGCCAAGAATGAAGACCAAACTGTAGATTGTAGGCAGAAACACCTTCCCGAAAGCCCACAACTCGGTAAAGTCACAAGGAGCAGAGTCGTCTCCATAATCATATTCAGGGGTTATGTTTTCTCCGTAACCTGCAAACAGAGTATTTATTTTAATTGATTTCACTTTTGCATTACATCAAAGCAGCCTTGTTTTGCAGCTTACCTGTCATTTTATAGAGTATATACAATCAGGTTATATGAGAAGAAATACAAGTGGAGGTAAGAACATTTTATTTAAGGCTGAAGCGCCTTAAATAAAGTTAGATATTTTAGTAAAACATGAGAAAGGTTCATCATTCTTACTCTGTCATTCAGCCCTTAATGTCAATTGATAATGAATGTTATAGTGCCACCTGCTGGTATGCTGTGGAGCCACATCTATGAGTTTAAAGAGTTTTATAGATTTGAAAAAAAGAAAAGATTAGCCTGTAACATGATGAGATGCAAGATGTGAGTTTAAGGTTTGATCCTGAAATAGAAAGAAAAACAAACAAACAGAATTCAAACTAAAATTAGATACAAAATACATTCATTAAAATGTGTCCTGTTGTGGAAATCTTCAGAAAGATAGATAGGTTTTCATTCTTCACTTTCATTTAAAAGTGGATTTTCAAGTTGTTGTTTCTTTTAGTTTTGCAGATTCAATGTTGTTCGAACTACCCAAGCAACAGCTTTAGTTTTTTTGCAACAGAGAGTTAGTGTTATTGTTCTTGTTGTCACGCAGTCTCTAGCAACACTGTACATGACGTCATCATTACATTTTCTTTACTTCATCGATCCTGATGCAGACATGGAGGGCAGGTTACTTCAATCTGAATGCCCCAGATTATTTTCTACAGAGTCCTCTCTAGATCAACCTACACGTAAACATTATGTATGTATGTATAAAAATGCCCTCTGACTCTGCTAATATTATTTATCTTATTTAAAAAAGATTTTAAAAAAAGAGTACACTAATCATTTTACGTTTGGACTTTTGAGCATTTTTTTCACTTTTCTTTATTCATAATTCATTTGAAACATTAGGAATCCTCTGAATTGTTCAGAGAGGAATTTCTCCAATTTTATTTGAAGTGAATTTGAACCTATTTTCTATACCATATGCAATATATATGCTTGATTGACATAAAAATAACCTTTTGGAATAGGTTGTGTGAATTCTTAGGGTATAAAGCATCTGAAAATGTTCAAAGAAAAAACATCACTACATTCAAAAAATATTAAAGGAGCTTTTGCTAGACCCTCTCTATTGAAGGATTTTTAGTGGAGGATGACTCTCTCTTATAACCAAACAATATTTTGTTCATCAATTTGTATCGTTAAAAAAATAAGGTTATTTCAGGATAAACAACTAGATTTATAATTATCCGAATAAGAATCCAAAGAAATGTTGCATGTTGTGCATCGCAGCATGGGATGCAAATTTACAATGTCTTATACCGCAAGTTAAAAAAAATGCACAGAAATATCTCTAACGAATCAATAATAAACTAAACTTTTTGCAAAGAAGAAACATACAGTTATTAAAATGCATTTACCTGCCATGGTTGTCTCTGTGTTGCTCATAGAGGCTGTACTTCAGGGGTTGTTACTTCTATGTCCAGGTCTTTATGGTTGTGATGATAAAGAGTGATAAACCGACTTTCCTTCAATAGAGAGAATCAGCAGTGCACTGTCACGGAATAACACAGAGAGAGATAAAGTTCATGAGTTAGTTTCCTGTACATCCCCTCAGTGTGAATACAAGATCCTTATCAGAAGCACAAATTCACAGTTGGTTGAAGTTCACACACTGACAGACTAACACAACACAAACCAGGTGTTGACAAAAACATCTTCATACTAACACATAGTAACAGCAGGTTTTAGTTAAAGGCTAGACTCATATTTTAGATCCAAATTGCAAATAAAGAGTATTTTACAATAAGTGACCATTATCTAATGAGAGTAGAAGTTATAGCCCACTTTTGTCCTTTTTCATTTTATTTAAAATCATCTGAGTAATACTTGTGATAAAATCATACTTCAGTAGTCTATGTAAAATATCTATTTTTTCTATTAGGAATGCCTTTAAAAAGAAATAAATGAGTAGGACACTTGTTGAATGTTTCTCAGTGTTATTTTCATACATTAAAAGCAATAATCCACCTACTAGCCTACCATCTGTGTGATTATGAAGTGTCAGATTATATTCTGAATAACTTTTTGAGGGTATATATAACCCTATTTTGATCTGTTTATAGAAGCCATTTGTCTTCTTCTTATGATAGCCTAATTATATTAATTATTTTTAGTAGAAGCCTAGTAGTAGAAGTAGTAGTAGTAGTAGTAGTAGTAGTAGTAGTAGAAGTAGTAATAGTAATAGTAGTAGTAGTAGTATTGTGCTTGTTGTTATTTTATTCTTCTTCTAATGACTGTTGTATTATGATAACCAGGCTTGTTGAGTGTTGAGTGCGCTTCTTAAAATTGCAGAGGGGTCTAAGAGTGACCTCTTGTGGTGGAGAAAAATACCATAGTTGTGTTGTGAGCACAAAGCATGCCGGGAGAAACATACCGGGAGAAAAGGTTTGAATTCAGCTTCATGAATTTCAATGAGGCATTGTGCATAGAAACTTTGTTAGAATAACAAATACAACTTTTTTTTAAGCCATTGTGTGTTTAAAGGTAAGGTTACCAATACTAATAATGTATTTGTAAAACGATAACAACATCGCTATCATCACCAACAATACGAATATTAACGGTCAGAATATCATGTCTCCTCTGTTGAATACATTTTACTTAGTTTCGCTCTGAAGCTTAAATTTAAAGACATTTCGTGTCTGTGTATTTGCGGTGCACTTGTATTTGTTGCCGTCGCTCTCCAGCTGGCGCTCAGTGAATTCTCAATGAGGATGATTGACGTGAGATCTGCTGACGAAGGCGGGCTGAAGAGAACCACATCAAGTTAGACAGACACCACAGCAGGGGGACCGGAAACTCTGCAGCACTGCCTACAAAATAAGAGTGGAAATTCTCAGAAATCGTTACAGCGACAGTTAAACCCTATATGTGTACTAAGTAAAGCATACTAAATTATAGCATATTATTAGTATTAAGTGATAAAATAAGTAATATGAATATAACGTATTGACCTTCCTTGTTTGTTGGCTATTATCCTGTTTTGAATATCCAAAAATGCACTTTTCATCCAATAGGCATGTGAGTGTTTTTGTAAGGCACCTTTGTACATAATAATAATAATAATAATAGTAATAATAATATATTTATTTATATAGCACCTTTAAAAAAAAATGTTTACAAAGTGCTGTGACAGACAGAGCAAATACAGCAAAACAACAACAGAACAGAGATAGAGCAACAGAGAGGGCAAAATGTTAAAAATGCAAATAACATGAATAATATAGATAATAAGAGAAAAAAATAAAATTAATACAGGAAGGGATACATATAAAGGCTAAAACATTTAAAGAAGAGAAAGATAAAAAGGTTAAAAGCAATAAAATTAATAAAAGGAAGGGATAGATCTTTAAAGGAGAAATCACATAAAAAAGCAAGTCTATAAAAGTGAGTTTTAAGAAGTGATTTAAAAGATGCCACTGACTCTGCCCGCCTTATCTCATCAGGCAGGCATAATATTTGATAAAAGAGAAGAGAGGCCTGAGAAAGCCCCGAGTTTAAAAATCCACAGTAGGCTATAATATATTAAATTCCTATTCTATTATTTTCTCTTATTTTGAAACGCCATACGGACAGCTCTATTATCAATCCTGTTACCTTGACAACGCTGGAGGGAAAGTCTGCCGGGGGATACGAAGCAGCACATCCAGTGGATTTGACAACTAACTGAGTCAGTGAGAATGACTCAGTTAGACCGTGTTGACTGAAGTAAGTTGGACTTTAAAATATCGGAAGTTTAACGATTCTTATGTCGTAGTTAGTTAAACCCAAACGGACATTTGCGGTGTTTGTGCTGCTTCAGGTCACACAGACTGTCTTCTCTGCGAACTCACTAGTTGGACCTGTACGAATAAAAAAAATGTAAAGTTTACTCCTACCTTTTAACAACTGTTTAATCGTTGAGATATATTACAAAACTCGCTGGACTAAAGTAATTAAACAATTTTGATGTGCAGGTGAGAGCAAAATATGGATATTCACCGAGTCTAAGAGCGACGGCGGATTTTGGGAACCCACTTCAGCTGAAGTTGGATATCCAAGTTTACTAATCACTGCAATGACTGATGCATCAAAACCACCTTCAGGGTAAGTTATTTAAACTCAAGCACCTTGTTTACTGAAGGAATTCAACTTTTATATAATTGTGTGATTATTAAAATCTAAACTTTCTTGTTAATACGTCTAATTTCAGCTGGTTAAACACTAATGGACTCGGCCACTACACACTGCGCATTTCTTGTTGCACATCAGAAACAAAATTAAGAATTTCTCTTGTAATTATTCGTAGTATTATTTTATTTTATTAAACACGGCTGCCTTTTTCCCCCAGCATATTTAGCTAATATTGTGGCTGCGTGGCATAAACACACCTTGTCCATGATAACAGTGGGCTTACATTGGTCAATGGAGCTCATTAAAACTACCTTGTGGAGAGCCTCCACAGCAACAGTTCACCGCGTTGGTTGCCTTTAGTGTGCAGGGACAACAGAGAGAGAGAGAGAGAGAGAGTTCCAGCAGCCGGATCAGCCTGCTCTCCATTTACCCCCACAACCAACTATGTGAACAGTACGAGGTCAAGACATGGTATGGGTATGACAGTGTAGTTTGTTTCTAGTGTCGAAAAAATAAATGACACAACCTTTTATTGGCTAAAGAACACCAAAAAAAAAAAAAAAAACTGTAGTTGCTGTATGTTATTGTTCTATGCTTTCATTTGTTTGGGGCGTGGCTGGGGCGTTAAATGACTGCCAACTTAATTGTATTAGCCTATTTAAAAATTTGACATTTAACAGAAGTAAGTATAAATAAATAAATGACAGTTTCAGGATGCAGGAATGCTGGAATGTCATGGTTGTTGCTCTCTATTCTGTGATAAGTGCACAGTTCTGCCCCAGGGGACACAATAGGCTACATGTGTGAAGTTTTTACATTAATCCTACAGTTTTAGTACAAACTATGACTGTATATAGAAAGACATCAGCTGATCCCATCATCAACAAAAACTGAATCATCCCAGAGTATGCATAAGACAACAGTTCAAATAGAATTAGGCAGCTTTTTAGTTTCCAGGTGTCACTGTGACACAGAGAAGCATATCTGAGTGTTTTATCCTAAATTTGAATAATTTGTTTGAATAATGACCATGCTGATAGAAGATTACGAGATAAAAGATTGCACTAGCCTTCAGTGGCCTCGGTTTGTTACAATGCAGTCACAGTGGAAAGTGGCTTGGATTAAAGTAGGTCTTAACTTGTTTATCTTATCTTTGTTTTAGCAAAAATAAGCAAAATACAGAAAGAGTTCTTAGTGTTATTGGTGCATGACCAGGTGTACAGTAATCCTACAGGCTACAGCAATATGATTATGTGCTACATGGGGGCTATCGTAATATCTTTATCCTGTAAAATTAAAAGTGGCTGACTTCATCCATTCTTAAGTCAGCAGTGTTATTTCTGGCATTGTCATTGGGTTCATACCTTTTGTCAGTCAGCTTTTAGTTAGTAAGGACCCTCTAAAGTACTCCGTCTGTAATGTAGGTGTGTGGTAAAGGCTCAGCAGAAGTGTATGCTCTTCATAGGGCCACATGAGAAGGTTGTGATTTTGACAGAAAGAGTGCTGATGGGTGGATTTAATGATCGGTCTGGTCTTTCAAGCAAAGGTCTCTTTAACCAGAACCTTTCAAACACAGTGATTTCACACTCTCAGGAGGCCACATCACTGGCCAAATTACAAAGTAGACTGGTCACAGAGTCAGCAAAGAAACCAAAATACCTTCTTTATCCGGTCAGTGTGTGCCATTTCTATCCATATAAATTACCATGACAACTCCCTTTGTGTTGTGATCTCTCTTTCGTCATCACACAGGGATTAGCTACTTTACTACATTGCACGGTCTAATGAAAGGCAGCTCATAAAACTACATAAACACACATTTACACACACAAAACACAGTCACTGAGCAGACAAACGCAGAAGGAAGAGATGGCTCTTTCGAGGGAAGCCATATTCTTTTGTACCTTTCTGTTGAAATCTGAGCAGTGGGTGTGTAAGACTGTGTGTGTTTGATAGTGCGTTCCCCAGGGGAGGTAGAAAGGTCACCTGAATGAAGCCCTGCTGAGCATTATACACTTATAATTAAGCCTGGACACAAAGTACAACTTCCTCCCCTCCCCAGAGACTAATGAGTATATCTCATGGTTTGAAGATAACCCATAATCTTACTACAAGACATGACAAGACATGATATTATGAAATTACTCTGGCTTGCGCTTGTTTTAATTTGTGTTCTATGGGGTGAGTTAACAGTGTTCCTAGGAAAAAAAGATATCTGTGGAATCTGATTTCAGTAATCTGCTACGAAAAAAAAACAAAGGAGCATGGTAAATAGTATTTCTATAGTATTCACACGATTGTCCAATCCAGTTATCTGGAAAGTAAACAGACTATCTTTTTGTGGGGACTGGCATCAACTTCAATTCCAAGGCTGCACAGTTAGGAGAAAATAATACCATTGCGTGCAACACTGGTTGGTTTACTTCCTCTTTGGGTTGATAGACTGCTAATGGCTTTCTGGAGTATCCCAAGCAAAACCCTCATACTGTACTTGTATAGGTCTGTCAAAGTTTTGTTAAATGTTGGATTTTAAAACAATTTATTCGTACTGATATGCCAAATGTGTTTAAAAATCTATCCAGAATACTAGAAGTGTCAACCCAAAAGAGTTTGAAATTTTGAGATGGAAAATGTGTAGGAGCTCTGGTTAGAACATCTGTTGCATTTAGGCTACATTAGTCAGCTATGATGCACAACAGTCTTAATTTGCACGCAGTGGTGTATTCCTCTTAAGTCTGGCATGGTGTTATGTCGTGTCTGCCTCTATATGTCTGTCTCTGAGTGCTGAGTGAGGTTTAGTCCAGAAGGCTGTGATTAATGTGGGTTTGTTACAGGCTTTTAATTAAAGTATCCACTCTTTCAGAAGCAATAAGGAGGCAACAGACTTTAAAAAAGAAAACAAAAACAGAGAAAGCATTAATCGGCAACTGCTGTCCTTTTGTGTGTTTTTCTTCTTGTCAGTGTTTACTCTGCTGTTGCAGGTTTTAAAGCTTATTTCTGCTCTTCTGTGTGACGTCAGAACCTTTACTTGAGTTTACTTCTGTCACAAGGTTTAGTCTACACTAAATAGAGACAAACAATTATGACATCTATCACAAGACAGGCTTTGCCTATTTTTGTGCTAAAGTTTGTGTGCCAAAATAAAAATCTGTGCCCATGAGCGCTGAGGGATTATTTATTTTCATTTTTATTTTGGCCCGCTGCCTCCTGTACTAGAATGTCAGTGTCACCCTTTGCATGTTATTTGACTATCATGTGTATCTGTCGGTCCATACAGTTTTTAAAAATACTTACAGAAGTAAACTTAAATATATTGAGATAATGTTATCTGCCAGAACCAAGTATTTCCCGGCTCAGGTCTTAAATAGTGGACAGTACTAAACAAAAGCTCCACACCCTTGCACATCCTTCAGAAATCTCCTCTATTTAGAATTTTAAGGTTTATGTGGTGGGCCACCAGCTCAGAACTGCTGACAGAGGGAGTTCCCTCCTTTTCCTCCCTTACTTGAGGGCTGTATTTAATCTGAGCAAAGTGGAACATGTTTTAGTGTGTGTGGTCACATCTGGATATTTAGGGTTATTTTTATAATGGGTTAAATATAACTCCCATGAAAGCTGAGATAGGCCAGAGAGCGAAAGAGTATTCGAGGCTATGCGTCTCTGGCAGCAGTACAGTATGTATCTGGTAATATCTGTAACCATTTCACTTGCAGTAGTGTTTGAAATAGAAAGGGTGTGGATGCAATTCGTCCACAAGATTGTTCTGCAAGGATAGAAGCTTGACCAATCACACTGGCTGAAAAGATGAAATCAAAAGTATCCAATCCTTTGCTCAGTTCATTGTTTTTATAAGCAGTCAGTATTGCAGAAATATTACTAGACTGGTAAGAATGATATGTTTGGGAAACTTTGTATTAACAATACAGCAATGTCTATTGTCAGCAATGTCCCTCGTAGTTTATTGTATACTCAGGCACAGCAGGATTTAATTAATGGGTTCTCAGAGAAGAATTCAAAGTAGCACATGCTCTCCTAATGTATTTACTTCACAGCTAGACATCTAGTCTGGCTGTATTTATAGACTCTTGTGCTCTATCAACCCCACTTTCCAACCTTTTGCTTAATTTGCAAACCTCCATCGCTGATTAAAGGAAGCACCCCTTAAACAATGACGTTAACCTGTATCACTTCAGTGGAGTGTATCTGTCTGTACTCTTACTATGCAGCTGTTATGGGCTGCTCAGATTTATTTCTGGAAGCCTGCAGTCATATGTTAGTCTCTGTGGCATGTGGGTTTGTCAGGGAGGAAGACAGACGGACTGTGTGTGTGTGTGTGTGTGAGTGTGTGTGTGTGAGTGTGTACAGTTGGACCGACTTCTCTTACAGCAACTGACATGCCATAGCTGCGAAATTGCCTGATAAAGCTGAGGTGGTGAATTGCAATCTCTCTTGCACAAGTTCTGATAGAATTGAGTCAGTGTTTGAACCCCTTAACAATGCTGCTATAATTTCTGGATTACAGAGAAAACACAGTTTAGAGTTTGTGTCACTGCGTTATACAGGAATCCTTTTCCATTCCTTTTTAAAATGATCACAAAACAATTCCGAAGCTTTTAGACAGGTGCACATGCAGTCCAAAAATAAAGGTGCCATTTCTGTTTTATTTGTTGACTTTGTTTCTTTTTAAACCCCTTCCATTATTAAAATCCCAATAAAGTGTCAAGATGGGATTTTAGTGTGGCTTTTCTCGTTTGTGTTAGGGATGCACCGATATACAGGTTTAACATGGGTATCGGCTGTTATCAGCAAATAATGTACACCGATGCCAGTAGCTGATAAGTCGCATTTGTGTAAGTTAGTAAACCTAATTGCTAATTCAGAGAGGAGGACAAACTCTGATCTGTTATCATCTTGAAAACATTTTGGAAGTGAGGGAGTCTTACATCATCTCTGAGCACGATCAGTATTGTGCA